CACATCGAGTTGGCAAACCAAAAGCAGTTTAACGTGCCCACAAATCCTAAGTGGTGGGCAAATCCGTATTCTGAATCAGAATAAACCCAATGCCTTTCTTTTAACTTTATTTAACAAAAAAGTGGAAGACGTTGTGTTACACTATGTAGTTGTTTGCACTAAAGAGTTTGCCTTATATCACAGGGCTCGTGATTGTTCTATTGCACTAAATGGTTCATTCTGTACTTACCCAATCTATGGTGACGGTTCAGCCCTCACCTCGTCCCTCCTCTTTGGGTACACCCCATTGGTTGGGGTCCTGTTCCTCCCCTCCCCTTCCCCAGGGTTTAAAACTGCCAGCTATTTGCTGCCCTCTCTTCTTCCCTTAGAAGCATTCTACATTAAAGTGGGACCTTGGTCCTGCGAAGAAGGAGTCTCCTTGGTATTTTGCCTTTATCCTTGATGGAGTATTCTCCATCTCCCGTGGTCCAGAGCTAGCTGAGAGGGTCCGGGGAGAAGAGGAATCCTGTCACTCTCCACCTCTCTTGGAGCCTTTTTAGGCACAGAAAGGGGCTCTAAGGTCTCCACAGATCCTTCTGTCTGAACAACTCGTCTTAGCCTGTTTTCACAGAAAAGGTGCTCCAGCCCTCTGAACATCACGTCTGTATTCCCCTCACTGTGAAGACCCAGGAAAATCACTCAGTGATGGCTCATCTTTGATCCCACCAGGCTCTCCCCAGCTCTGTACCACCTCAGCTCCATCTTCCACTGGCTGCCAGAAAACAGCTCTGAAAACAATTAATACATGTTGATTGTTTATTGTTTCCAACATATTAATAGATTGGATAATAAACAGTACTTTTAAACATTCTCTTAACCAAAAATATAACAAATATTTACAATCACTCAGTAAAAATACAAAAAGCATACAGAGGCACTGTCTTTCTAAAAGACATAAGTGTAAGAGGTATAAAAAAATAGGAGACAAACATTGCTTGTTACAGAATACTTTACAATCACTGACTTGTGCAGTACAATTGCTATTGGAATATCATTACATCTGTGCAGTTTTGCCAATATGCTCACATATTTAGAATTTAATTAATACCAAGCTAAACTGCATTCCAGGTATATCAGAAATAAAGATAAAACAATAAAAAGCACAACAGAAGCAAAAGCTGGGTTAGGAATTCAAGATAGATTCCCCTCTATACAAGCATTCTAAAATATGTGTAAAGCTTTTCTAAAGAGAGAGTATCCCTTTTTTCTTTTCTTTTTACAAAGACAGTGATAAGTTTGTCCTTCAAAAATTCTAATGTTTTATTAAAACTTAAATTACAGGCTTGTATTTCTACTGTTGCCTGCAGTAAAATTACTCGAGACATGATGGAAGAGGTTTTGGAACACCCTTGATGCCCCATAGGCCCCTCTGCAAATGGCATCACTGGTATGTTCAGCCCCTGGGACATCCTCTGTCTCCGGCATGTGCAGACAGCCCCCAGAGCATCCCATCCCAAACAAGGGGCTCTGACCACCTTCCAGAGAAGCATCACTCACCTGGCATCACAGAATCTGCTGAGCTGGAAGGGACTCGTCAGGATTACTGAGTCCAGTTCCTGGCCCTGTACAGCATCATCCCCAACAATCCCACTCTGTGCCTGAGAGCATTGTCCAAACACTTCTTGAGCTCCCCCAGACTGGTGCTGTGACCATTCCCCTGGAGAGTTGTTCCAGTGCCCAACTACCCTCTAGGTGAAATATCTTATATATATATATATATATATATATATACACTCAACTTAAACCTCTTCTGACACAGCTTCAGGCCATTCCCTTGTGACCTGTCACTGGTCATGAGAGTGAAGAGATGGGTGCTGCCCCTCAGGAGGATGTTGTAGATTGCAAAGAGGTCTCTCTCCCCTTAGTCTCCTTTTCTCCAGGCTGAAGAGACCAAGTGCCCTCAGCCACTTCTCATTAGGCTTCCCCCTTCAGACCCTTCCCCATCCTCATGGCCTCCTTTGGATGCTAATAGTTTCATGTCTTTTTCATATCATGGTGCCCAAAAATCACACACGGACTCAAGGTGAGGCCACACCTACAAACTTATCTGAGTAAAGGCAAAAGGAAAGAGCCAGGAAAGCCCCACACTGCCCACTGTTGGCAAACACTCAAAATCTGTCCACGTTGCAAAAACACGAACTGCAAACATCCACAGCCATTGTCTTTCCATTCTTTTGTGTACTTGGGAGAAGAACCTGATGCTCAGAGGCCTGGTGATCTCATTTTCCCATTTCTGCAACTGGAGAGGCCAATTCAATTTTACCAAACTACACTGCTTTCTCAGGAATTATTTGGAAGTTTAGGATTTATAACAGAACACTGTGTGCTTAAATCATAGAAATCTGAAATGCATCTTTCACCAACAAGTCAAGAGCAAACGACAAGCAGGAAGCGTGCAAACCCAGGTATGGCAGTGGAAGAACATGACATGAGGCACCTGAACTGTTTATCAGCATCAGAGCTCAAGTTAGAAGAACCCAGCAGAGGTACAGAGTCAGGCATCTGTGGTCCAGAAGACATCACTTCAACAAAGCAATGTAGAACAGGTACTAACCACCATATTGCTTCTGTCTGCATTACAAACAAAAAGGATAATGTCTCTTCAAACCCACGCCAGACAATCTACATTTGGCTATTGGCCCTAATCAGTGTGATCTGTTGAGTTAAAAACAAACAAACAAAACCCCCAGCAAGGAGCAGCAGAGAAGCCACACTGTGCAAGGCGGAGTAGCAGGAGTAGCTCATCTGTCCATCGTTTATGTATGATTTATGTACATCAGCTGTGTTGGCTATTGGGAAAATATTATTAGTGAGACTTTCACTCATTCCAGAACTTTTCAGTGTCTGCCTGTGGAACAGATGGATCCTGTTGATGTGCAAACACTATCAAACACCATGTTTGGATAGGTAATTTATTAGCTGCCAAAAGACCCTGACCCTGCTCCCCACAGGGGTTGCCTGCATCCTCAAAGGCAGCACTATTGGGTTTTGGGGCAAAAGGAAGCCATTTTAGTAATCCCCATCCCCTATACTTCTGTTCAACAGGCTGGAATAAGCTGCAGCTCTGCCCCAAGGCCAAAGAACTGTACGGTTTCATTCATCTGGCACAATGCAGATGATTTCTGATGGAACTCAAAGCCTGTTGTTCCCATGTAGAAGTTAACAAGCAACTACAGGTAACAATGAGATGGCAGGACCTGGATTTACATCCCACAGGAATATCAGTTCAAGAATTCTTTATCAATATTGCATGTGCTGAAAACACTTACTCTGCCCTGCATTGCATTGAGACATGAATCTTTAGTCATTAAGACCTGTGCAAGTTCATTATACACATTAAGGCCTTGAGAAAGCAAAATGCATTTATTATGCTATACCTCAAGTGGATTTTAATATATTTTTTCAACCATTTGCTCCTCTGATACTTGTGCCAAAAATTCATACAGCCAACCAGTGAGTTATAAATTAGGAATCCTCTTCTTCAGCATCACTGTTCATTCACACCTTCTCAGTTCCTGTCATGACAGGTACATTCCAGACAATGTTGAACCTGGTACTGCTCTGAAAGCAGACACAGGCTGGGTCATTCACATTCACCTGGCTGCATCAGCCCCTAGCTACTATGAAGAAAGCACATCAAAGGCTTTGGGTTGTTTATGGTACTTGTGGCATTTTCCAAAAATGTTGTATTCACCTCACACCCCTGCACACATATAGGTAAAAAAAAAAAAAACCTTTAAGCTCTTCACAACTATGAATATAGAAATCAGTTTTGAGGCACTGTAAAAATGACAAACATCATCTTTCTAGCTTAGGCTGTAAACATCACAACAAAGATTTACAATTAAATGTTTAAGTACACATTCACATATTGATGTTTGATTTTAACACTAGAATGGGGTGTCAGGTATGGAAGGAAAGAAAGGAAAGAAAGGAGAAACAAAAGCACCTGCAGGCATTTCCAGTTCTACCCATCTGCACTCTGGCTGGCTAAAAGTAAAATCAAAGAAGCAATTATTTTGACCATAGTCAAACTAGAGGATGATGGGTTAATACTGGCTGGCTGTAAGTCAAAACTCTCACTGACATCAACACCACCAGGACTTTTAACTGAGATTTTAAAAATTGTTTGAGATCACTTTATTTTCCAGATAAACACTACAGGTTTTTTTAACCCATCATAAAATGCATTCTGCTCTTCTATAAGCACTGTGTCATTTATTATTCGGTTTCACAAATATTACTGTGAAATGTAGGTGATTTCTAATTCTTTATTTTTTTTTTAACAGATAATCTTTGCACCTAAACCTGTGCAACTCTGGGAAAAGGCCAGGACATGTGAGATGATCTTAAAAATCCCCAACACACAGCTGAGTTTTGAGTTTTAGAATATGCTATGTATGTTGTACTCTGCAGGGCAAAACCTGGTTGAAACTCTTTTGGGAAAGCTTCAGATCTCTCCAAATGCTCCCCATAAGCTACAGCTTCCACATTTCAAATATTCCTTAATAGGGGAGGAGAGCACCAACTGCTGCCTTAGTTGGCTGGCAGCTAAAAAAAAATCTAAAAATATTTGGACAGGAGGTTTCTGCTGTGTCCATGTGGGAGGGGAGCAGCAGGAGTGCTGGCTTGACAGATACTACTCTGCAGGGCATTGGGCTCTATTCATATTAAATCTAAACCCACTCTAAAATCTGTAAATTGCTGCATCCATTTCTACTTTTCTGTGTTTATTTCGACAGCACAACAGTTGATGTGTAGCTAATTTACTGTCACATTGACTAAACATTTATATTAGCCAACCAGAGCACTCCCAATGCACATAAAGGAAACTCCCATTTAAAAATATTAAATTAATAAATTATTTTCAGATACTTTAGCAACATCTTTTGCTTTTGCTGACATCTTGATATAATTTTTTAAGTTCATTAAAATACACTCTCAGACTTCTAATAGTCATGTAGAAAATAACGACAATGGAAACTACCAAAGGATTACATGGTATCATACAGAAAAATGCTCCCAAGTTTCAAGTGATGGTGACAACTGATCCTCCCTAATGCATGAAACTCGGTCCATCTCTGGATACCCATGTTGGTATCCAGGCAGTCAGCACATTCGTTGAACAGGATTTTCTATTTCACAGGCAGAAATAGCTTCTTAGGTGGTGGTGGCAGAGTGAAAGAAGCTGTAAAGAGGTGATCCAACCCATTCCATCTCGTCTGTGACAGAGGCAAGGTCTGAGGTCAGTAGCAGCAAGTAGTCAGTAGTTGCTAACAGAACCATAAGACCTTCTCCCACATGCTTGTGTTGTAAGTGGTTCATATAAATAGCCCAAGGGTTAAACTGCTGATACTTGTTCATCTTCTGCAAAACAAGATAAAGAAATAGGCATTATTCCACCATTCCCCATCTCAGGCACATAGGGCACAGACCAGCACCCAGTGAGGTGGTAACAGTGAGTCTATGACTTCACCCCTTCAGCAGCATGTTTTCACTGTCTTTATCATTGATCACTACACATTCCATAATGTCACCACTTATCAGATCCTCAGGAAATCACAGAATGGTTTGGGTTAGAAGGGACCTTATAAAGCATCTCATTCCAACTCCATGCCATAGGCAAGGACATCATCCAGGTTTCTAACAGCCCCATCCAGCCTGGACTTGTGCACTTCCAGAGACGGGGCATCCATAGCTTCTGCAGTCTGAGGTATAATGGTCATATGATAAAGACATATTGCAAAACAGAAAATCCCATATCCCCTAAAAATTATCACCATGCAACTCCCAGTATGCCAAAAGCTATGGATTTGAGGGAAAAGCCAGCAAATTTCCACACAGTGAGCATTTTATCACAAATAAAATTAACCAAGCACTCCAAAAATAATAAAATAGGTGCCTCTAAAAGTGTACAGTTAAATTTAGCTTAGAAAACATTTGATTAAAAATATTTGAAGCAATGACTTCCTTGTTTTTACATCAAAAGCACAACAAAATTAATGCCAGACAATTTTATGTTTACTGTAAGTTTGAACTGCAGTACTAATATATATGTTAACTACTGCTTACACATTTTAAAGAGCCAAGATACAATCCTTTTGCATCAGAAATCTAAATACAGGCTCATTTTGAATCAGACTGAAATGGAAGTAAATGATCACAACATTCTAATAAAAAAAGAGTTCACCAGCAAAAGATACAGAAGATCACATCACTGCACAGAAATTAAAAGCAAATCAGCAGATAAACAATTGAGTAGAAATTCCCCTGACCTGAAGTTAGCTTTGACACAATATAAGAGCAGTCTTCATTGGAAAATCCTCTCACATTTTGGTCACCCCACAAATGCCATGCTTAAGATAATGGAAAAATAACTGGAAGAGACACTGTCAGGCCAAGTTAGGCAGAGAATACAGGTTTCATCAAATGCACTCTTGAGAAGAACAGAAGTTTGTTATTATTTTGTTCAATATTATGAAACTCAATCTCCAAAAATATCTCCTGAGGCATAAGGCAGCTCAATAATAAAAAATTAATAAAATAAGTTCACTCCACCAAATCCAAATCACTCATTTTAGACCATCACCCTGATGCCAGCCAAACCACTGGGACACCAGTTAATCAACCCAGGGAGGCTAGAGTTTTTCCACATGTAGCCTGTCAGTGTCCCATCACTGTTTAAGAGGGGACCGATTTAAAGAAAAAAAATCTACATGCTCTTACGTGTCTCAGCTATACTTTAGGAGATCTTATATGTATATTTTTGTATATTTATTTATTTACATATACTTTCAGTTTGTTTGGTATCAACATGCTTTTTCTAAGGGGAAGGCATTCTTCTTTGCTTTGAACATGTATGTACATGCACAGTTATGCATGACATATACAGCCATGCATGTGCATACAGCCATACAAACACAACTGTGTATTCAGAGATTAATCTGCTTTCTGTCTCCAAGAATGACCCAAGAGAAAGCCCAGAACATCGCTGTGAAGTGCACCCTGCACAGCCCCACTCCCGAGCCAGGTGTTCACCTACCATCCTCTTCACTATCTGCGTCAGGCAACTCTCCTACTCTGAGGCTGGACGGCTGCCCGCCGTGCCACTGAGGCATCCTCGAGGAGACACAGGCCAGTGGGTCACTACCGAGAGCAGCTGGTGGAAGTCTAGAGAGGTCACTGTGCAGCATCTTTGACCTCTGCACTGCCACACTATAGTCTGGAGGTTTGAGGTGTGGGTGGTGGGGCGATCCTTCTTTTATGTCCGCTAAAGAAATCCCCATATATCCTGGAGGGGTGGGCGGTGGCTCCCTATACCTATCGTCCTTCTTAGGTGAGGTGACACAGTACACTGGGCACAAGAAATAAGCAATGGAAATGTTAAAGAAGAAAAAGAAAGGAAACAAAACGTTAAAAAATAATGAAATGTTACAATGGCAAAACAGAAACTGGTACCAAAATGCAAATATAGAAACACTGGTTATAACGACAGCAGCAAGTGTTTATGCCTTCACTTCTGTTTTCTATTTATTTTAAGAAGTCAGAGTAGCAAGAGAATCCATGAACTCTTAGGTGAGATGTCAACTGAGTGGAAAGAGGACTCTAAGCTTGTCTGCATTCAGACTGGAATGAACACCTTTTATTTCAGTCCCTGCTCCTGTGGCCCTGCTGCACCAGGGCATACTCTGGAGCTCTCCAGCAGGATGGAGAGCCAGCACAGTCAAGTCTGCTGCCACTGTTACAGGCTGGGAAACTGAAGCAGAAGGAATTAAGACAACCAGCCCAGAGTTACTTCGCACAGCATGCTGGTGTTTGACAGCAAGAACTGCTGGTTGACTTCCAACATCCATTTCATTGCCCAAAAGATGTCAGTCACATAACACAAATTCATTAAAATAAAATATCACCATATCAACTGATATGTATAAAGACATGGTTATCTGGCTATGCCATAGGAAGAAATAAAATAGCATCACTTAAAATTGATCCTATGAGGCAGACTGTATTGAGCCTGCATTAATTATTTCACATTTTCACAGCATGAATAATGGCTTATCACACTTATACTTTTGATTTCTTGCTTTTTTCCCTTGGTTTTTGTTTTGTTTTCTTTTATATCCTTAAACTATGTTCTGTTTACAATGAGAAAAAAACAGGAACGGTTATTGGAACAGCCTTTGGAAGTGCTGCATTACACCTTGTGCTGTCATGAAAAGGCTACAATCAATATTATTTATTTGCGATGTCCATGCCTTATAATTCATCTTCTCTCCTCCCGTCCTGTTCAGCAGCAGTTCAAGTCACAGAGGCTCTCAACCCAAAATTTAACTCTTCTTAGGATGCCTCCCCTTCCTCCCATCCCAGGTCTGGGGCTTACGTGCATGTTAAATTGGGCTTTTTTCCATGGACATGTTGCAACAGGAGAGTTTCAAAACCAGGGTAATTTTAAAAATCTCTTAGTTAAGTGAATTTGCATTCTTCCTGTGGATCGATTTTAAACAGTTCATGTTCATTAGTTTCATTTATTTCACCAAATGTAATAGTTTCGTATTTTAGAAGAATGTGAAGGGATGGAAAATAAAGCAGTATTTCTTCTTGTGTTGTAGACTTGTGAGACTCCAGGTTTTGGTATCAGGAACACAAGCTAGTTCATACTTGATGGCCTCAGCTCATACTTGGGCTGACAGTAAAACAACTAAAACCAAATTCAGTCAGGAGTTTAGCAGATAAACATGGGTACAGGCAGAGATTTATACTATTGAATTACAGGATTTATTTTCATTTAACTAGCACTGAATGAGGTGTCTGAAAAAGCAGAGAAGTGAATAGGATCTGCTCTTCCTTGGAGGGATGGGGTAGGGCTGGGTCTTCATCTTGACTTCGGTCTTGGTTGGATTTGCAGGAGGAATGACGAGGGTGGGTATGTTTTCCTTCAAAGGAGAAACCTTCAAGCTCCCTAGAGCTAACCTTTAGTCTACTGTAGTAATGCAAGAATAATATGTGCCTTTGTCAAGTTCCAATTAATAGTATTTTACAAACAGTGAAATATAGTGAAGATATCTTTGGCATATTGTGTGATGGCAAACAGCTAACAGATTTGCATTTGCAAACCTGTAATTATATCCACCCGTATCAGATCTTTCCTTGAGCAGACATACTCATGCCCTACTCCAGCACCCTCTATGTGCTCCTCACAGCTACATGGTGCAGAATGGAAAAAGAATTAAAAGGAAGGTCAAGTGCTGTCAGCAAAGACAGCATGTACTGAACAGTGAACCTGCCATCTCCTAATACCGCTCATGAACAGCTCTGAAAGACTACAAGGTCAGAGCACAGGCACAGCAATGAGCTGGGAGCAAATTTTCTGTAAGGCTCCACCACATTTCTTTTCCAAAGCCAAGAAGGAGCAACACAATCCAAGACCTCCACCCTACGTGCAATGTTTATTCTTTCCTAACAAACCCCTCCAGCAATCCACTCAGTAATTAAATTGCATTTCAGTTGCACGCCTGCCTCACAGTTTTAGAAAGCTTTGCATTCCATGTTTTATCTTGCTGCTAACCTGGTTCCTTTAATTTTGGCTACTGAACTCACTAGGATGGGGAAAGAATATATTGCTTGATAGAACTATGCATATTTCAGAGAACACTTTTCATTTTTTTCTCCTTTCATAAGTAGCCAAACTGCAGCTGTATAATCAAATAAATGGCATCTTAAAATAGCAAAGACAGGAAAGGAATCTGCTTTGCCCTTGAACTTTCAGAGCCCAAAGCCTTGTGGATGAAAGGTGCCACAGCTCCAAAGAGGCAGGTGAGCTCCACACACTCTGTAGTCATGCTCTTCCCTCCGGATTCCTGGGAAGTCTGTATTATAAGGAGTATGGAATCACTGACCCTTGTCAGAAGAACATCTACAGTGATGAGTATATCTCCAAAATCATTCAAAAAAGTGAAATAGCTTACTACAGAAAAGAACTGGCTGACATTTTCCTGAAGAGAGTTTTCCTGCAGACCCATGAAGTGATGGGGAAGCGCACTTGTTTATTATCTTGATATTCCTGATGCAAAAGAAGGTGGCTTGAAGACACACTTTGTAGTGCTCTGATTACAACTACGTGTGAAGCTGAATTCAACATGCCAGCCAGCCCCAGACCTGTTGATGTCATTTCTTAACAATTTAGTATCAAAATGAAAAACAGATGTAGCAGCTTCCATGAGCTGTTGGCTTGTCTTACCTATCAGGCCTTTTTCTGTACTCGAAGTAACAGTTTTGTAAGTTGTATCAGTGCCTGGTTTAGAGTCCAAAACCTCCATCTGCTCCACTGTGGAGTTCTCCAGCCCTCTCCGCTTAATTGTCCCATAGTTTGTCTCGTAAGTGTCTGACAGGGAGCTGGAGGATGCCCAGCTCTGCCGAGACTGATCGAGCTCCACGCTGGCTTTCAACTGCTTGTTGGCTTTGGAAAAGGCTTCAGAATACAAATAACCCTCCTCAGAGTAACAGTTTGTGGGATCCACTTCAGCTATAGGTCCATCTAGCTGGGTGTGACGGTAAGAACTGAGGAGATCCCAGCTCTTCTGGTTTGGGATATTCTGGAAATTGTCATGAGAACTACTTGAGCATGAAGTCCAGCTTCCCCGGCCGCTGTCTGCTGCCTCTACTGTGATGTGCTCATGGGAGATCTCTTCGCTGCTCATGGAAGAGGTGAATGCCATCCCTCTGATCAAAGCAGGCCTAGTGATGGACCAGCTACATTGGAAAACAACAGAAATTGGGAAAAAAAATTTGTAAGCTTTTACAATAAGAAAATGTACTCAGAGCCAACTCTGGGTTTGTATCAGGTGAGCAGCAAGCTGAAGGCACAAGGGAGCACTGACAAGAGACAGTATTACTCACAAATCATTATTGCACCCAGCAGCAAGGAAGTTATTCCCAAGGGAATAACAAGTTTGCAACATGCATTTCCAGGCTGCACCCCAGATCCCTAAGTCTGGCCCACAGAAGCTCTTTTCTACCAATCACAGCAACAGTGCCTGACAAAAAGCAGAGGAGTAAATTACCTCTTACATTTAGTCTGCTAACACAATTTTCCTTACATTCATAAAGTAAAAGAAAAATAAATATTTAAAATAAAATCCAACCCCTTCACTGGCAGCAACATCAAGTTGTTTAGACAGAGTGGAAGCAGCTGAATTTCAAGAATGTTTGGAAATATTTAGCGTAAGTAACATTTGTGGGAACAATATGGAGGGACAGATTCTGAAAAGTAAAGTCCAAAATTTCTTTTTAAAGAAATGTCTGCTGAAAGCTCTAATTGCTCAATTAAGGGGAGAAAAATAAAGCCAGGTTTGTATGAATTTAAAATACATGAAGATAGGATTGTCAGACATTATTCAAGTCTCCCAACTATTTCTGGGTGTGTTAATAAATGCATGGGCAGCACAACATTAAAATTCAACACCGTCCCTCAGTAGTTTACTGACAAGCTGTGAAATCAAGGAATGTTTCTTAGGTATGTGCAAGCAAAGGGTTTTATTTCCTTCCTTTTCTATTTTGTAAGTCCTACGATAAAATCCACTTTCTTCCCTCATAAGGAATAAAGGACCAATCACAAAACATTAACTCAGTATGTATTATGCCTTCTAGAAAGGGAATTATTTTCTTTGATGAAGCACATCTTTAAATTCTCATTTCCTATGAAATAAACTGAATTACTCTTTTCTTTTCATATCTGGAACTGTTCAAGGCCAGGTTGGATGGGGTTGGAAGCACCCTGATCCCTGCCCAAAGAAGAGGGGTTGGATCAAGATGATCTTTAAGGTCCACTGCAACCCAAAGCATTCTATGATTCCATGTGCTGGAAAAACGAGAAATGTAAGGAGTATCTCTCATTTAGTTGAATCCATGACAACTGAGGACAGACAATGCTATTCCTAGATATATTAGGAGATGTTAGATCCTACGGATCAAGATGCTACATCTAGCAAGAAAATCCAAAAGCCTCCAGTTCGAATCATCATTTCTGCACAAATTCTCATTGCACTGAAGTAACAAGTCCTCTTGCATGGAAACTGTCAGAAAGATAGTGGCAGAAAGCTGCCAGTCTAAGCAACAAATGATAATTAGAAAAATCCTTATAAATCACATTAGAGCATGTTAAGTGACTGGCACTGCTGACTCAGAGAGAATTGATCATATCCTGTTCTTTTGATGTCTCTCACCGTGGCACTAATTTGCTAAGCATCATCCTGGCTTTTAACAAGCTCCCAGTCTCCTGCAAGAAATATCCAGCTAAACCCCATCAATGGGAACAAGCAGTTGTCTCCCCCAGGTAATATTGTAAGCTTCTTATGGAAACAGGCTCACACACAGCAGCCAGTGCTCCAGCTTCCAGCAAAAACTTAATAACCAGATTGGAGTGCACAGCTGTGTCCTGGCCAAAGTGTCCTTACCCCTTCTGACACCAGAACACCAAGCCCCACCAGAACCAGCTGCACCTTACCCCAAGCAGGGCTGGCTGCAATCTGTCAGTGCCTGAGGATGCTCCTTTCTCTCTGCCCCACCTGAATCCACCACAATGAGAGACTGGGATAAACTCCTCTCATCCTGCAGTGCTGCTGACATGGAGTCCACAGAGCAGTTGCTCACGATGCTGGACCGGGATGAAATCTCACTGTGGCTGGAGTCCGAGAAGTTGTCAGATTTAGTGGAAGGTATTAGGGCGTAGCCTAAGTACAAGACAGGAGATGAGAGGAGAATGTCTTGATCAACATATGACAACAAAGTATTGACACACACATTATAGCGAGGATATTTAGAAGAAAACCAAGCAAACCCTGTTTACATACAATCTGTCCACTGAGGATTTTAGTGTACTAAAGCTTTTAGCATCTATCAGCATTTAGCACTGATTTACTAATGCAAGTCCAGGAACACCAATAACTCACCTGCAACTCCACTACTCTCCAGAGCACCAGCTTTAAACCATACAACCTGAATCAGCAGCCTATTGCATCAGTACTGGGTGGGCAGATCAGGTCTTTCCAATTCTGCAAGCGCTGACTCCTTCAGTTTAAACTAGCACACTTCCCACTATCTCTCTGCTATATTGCCATGCAAGACTTAAAACAAGATTCTGGCAATGGAGGAGGAGATACTAACTAAGGTAAAATATAGTTATTAGCACTCAGGGATTAGCCATATGGTCCATTTCAGTTTTATTATCTGCTCCAAAACGAACAGAGAAGGAAGCAAAGGCAGGAAGTACAACCCTGGCAGGAGCTGGACTAGATTCCAGTGCTGTTCCCACGGAAGGGCAACAACTTAACGCCCCACCAGACACAGAGCAAAATGGATAATGTTTTTTTGTTGTTTTTTTTTCTGCTTGGCTTACCCTCAAATAACTTCTTTCAGACACAAATAAAGTATACACCCCTATATAACACCTCAACCAAGCTTTTTTTTTCTAAATTTCTGCATATGTGCCTTTTAGTGAGACTGCCACATATTTACATTGATTAGGTGAAGAAGTAAAATGACAAGGCAGTGTAAAAGCCAACATAACCTCATACAGAAGACTGATGCCCTTAAGTGCATAAACAATATAGAGATGATACAGTATGGCATATGGATGGAGACACTGGATACAGCCACTGAGCATAAAGCTCATCATTTGAGATTTCAAAGCTTAACGTTGATTGTTGCTGTAAGATTTTAAGAGCAAATATGAAAATATCAATACTATAAAACTATAGAACTGAATCTTGAGATGCACTTAAGAGCAGCCTTTTTAAGATTAAATTTCAGTTTCCCTTCATTTGGCAATAACTAATATTTTATATCCTTTACATTTTTTAAGAGACTCTTTAAATTTTTAAGAGACTCTTTACAGACAACTGTACTGCAGTAAGAAATGTCCTCGCAGTGTTCCAACTATATGGAGGACAAAGGGCTTCCCTTCATTAAAGAAATTAACACTATCTGAAAGCTGAGCCAAAAAAATCGGCATGTGTATGAACAGACTAAATATACACATTTACTGGCCTGAAAAGGACAGCAGAAGATATGACCAATGGAATACACACCAATGCTGGAACTGAGCATTCCACTGACACTGTATCAGGGACTGTTTAATTAACAGATGTTGCAGAACTGTTTCATTGGATTTGTGACACACTAAGTAGTAACTGAACTGACACTGTACCTGTTCCTTGATTTTCTAAACTTCACATTATTTTCTTCACTGCACTGTAAGGGTGATTAGCTATAAAGAACTGACAAACATCTGGAAGGGAAGCACATTAAACATCTTAAACATGTAAATGGATAATGCTGAAATGACTTAGATAAACTCAGGATATTGGACACAACACGGACATCAGTCTTCCTTTTAAAAATACATTATATTGTCTTCCTCCTTCTAGGTCTTGTGCATAGGCAGTAGGATGTGTATACACTGCTGTTGCTACACATACTTGCTGTACTCAGAGTATCAATGTCCTTGTCCTTTTGGTTTCCACTGCTTTCTAAGGCTTCAGTGGGCTCTGCTTCCCTTTTTGCAGCAAAAACTGTTCTTTCCCTGGAGAAGCTTCTTTCCCTAAGTCTTCTAAACCGGAATCCCTTTATTTTTGTAGGTTCATGCTCAGCTTCTGCCTTGCTACTCTCTTTCTCTCTGTCCACCTTTGCACTTTTCTCAGAACTCTCTCCAGCTTGGCAAATCATCCAAATTTGCTTTTGTAAATAAGCCCCACCTATTCCATAGCTGCGCTGTCCACTGTTCTTGTTGCTGGTTTCACTGGCCAGTGATGAGGAGGAGCCAGAGAGATTCATCTGACTGCAGTTATCCGGCCTTTGGATGTTGCCAACTACAATGAAGTAGACACAGACAGATGTTGATAGATGATGAGATAAATAACAACAAAAATAACATCCAAATTGAAAATCCTTTTACTTCAATCTTATTTGTGTATCACTTGAGTATAGCTCAAAAGAAAATGAAATCTAAGATTAAGTGGAATGTGTTTGTGCCTGAAATTATGTCTTTCAGCTGTCTGGGAAACACCTAATTTAGATCAATGAGCTGTTAGCACAACACATACAACAAAGTACAGATCACCTCAATCAAATGAGATCAGTGCTGAAAGCAAGTTGAATTAATGAAACAATTCCTAAGAAACAAAACATTATTTTCCAAGAACCAAGTAAATGTTAACAAAAATAACATATTTATAAGCTATGCTCAGTGGAGCAAGATTTGGCAACCCAAGTATTTAAGCTTTTTATACATGTGCTGTGTTTAAGTAAAGTAAGTGGCATTCTCCTAAAGGAAACAGGATCTTGTGAAGGCACAAGTGGATGGACCAGCCTGATCTTCCACTGAGAAGAGTGAGAAGATGCAGCAGGTCACCATGCCATGCCATGTCATGCCAACGCAGTGGCTTTGGGCTATCAGTGAGTCAAAGCAGCACAGAAGGGAGGGAGAGAGGCCTTACGCCATTCAACACCAACCACGTGGGCTGGCTACTGAGTGGTCTTAAGAGATTTCAAATGAATTTCCATCCAAGGTTGACTAATGATGAAGTGGTGCACGTCTTTTAAGATGAAGACATCAAAAATAAAGGGATTCTCATGGCATCATGAGAGACAGGGATGTATACAAAGCCCTGTGCACAAGAACAAAAAATATGAACAGTGAGCAACTCAAGGATTTAGATGGATCCACTACCTCTGCAGCAACCTAAACCACCTGTCCTGAAGAACTATGACACCATTCCATCTCCAGCTCTATCTATTTACCTTGTATTCCAGCTACATTGGACAAGATCAAAAGTTGTCTCAATAGCTGTAATTTCTGTCCAACACTGCTGTCTTCAAGAAATCCTCAGGTTTGCGAATCCAATTTATTTAAGTGGCCACCTAAATCCAAACTAGCATGACAGCAGGTGCCAGCACTTCAGATCTATTGGGAATTCTGCCAAAAGCACTTAGGCAGTATTTTAAGACAACAACTGTTCTCTTTTTTCAAATACTAAGTGACTTAAAGGTCCAAAATATACGTTGGAAAACCATGTCTTTTCACAGAAAGACATTATTCTATTATTGACATGAATATTCTAAACTACTAATTCTCTTACGTGCCATTATCAACAAATATTCCTGCCACTGCCCACCCTGGTTTAGGCTACAGTTCCTGGGACTGATGCTGTCCCACACGTACCTTTGCATGGGGAGCCCTGAGGAGAAGCAGGTGGGCTGGAGTGTAAAGAAGATACCATGGACATACTGTCATCTGTTTGTTTCTTACTACTTACTTCCTCAGACAAACTTAATGACTTCTGTGGAGAGCCTGTACCTACGAAAACAATGGGATCAGTTACTGCATATTATTCTTCCTTTGAATTACTGATTTCTGTTTGAACTACATATAAGCACCATGTTGAACAATCAGAATATTCAGCAAAGAGAGGAGCAGATGCTCAGAGAATTATGCATGTGGAGGCAGTCTCCACTTAAATTTAGATCAGCTGTGGGCACTGCTACTGCTGATTACTCATCTGCACTGTGTTGAAACATCCATATCCCAACATGAACCACTGCAATGGATAAATTCGTTGTGGTTTTGCCAAAGGACTATGTTAAAAAGAACCCCAACTATGTGCAGTATAAACCTCAGAGGAAATCCTTTCCCATGGCATTGTTGGGACTATGTTAAAAACTACATGTGTTAGAGCCACCAGGTCAGTTCAAGATCTTCACAAGTAGGTGTTCTCAAATCAACACTCATAGGCACTATCCACAGCTTGGCCAGTTTAGCAAAACCAGTGTCACACACATGGTTTGGTGTTCCTTACTCACTATTTGACCATCCTGCAGAGGACTCGGTGCTGAGGAGTTATTTCAAGTTCTCAATAACTTGTTAGATTAGCATGGACCACCACACATGAATGAAGAAATATCTCTGAGAAACGTTTCTGGAACTTGTCAAACTGCACAGGCTTTTCAGAGGAGAATTGAAATAAATACCGACTGGAATCAGTATTTTATATGCTGGAATATACTGTTTTCTGAAGCTATTTTAAATTATGTTGATTCCCAATATACTATAAAATAATTTCATATCAGTTATTGACTGCAGCTAACTTCATTTAATAACCCACAATTGCATCTTTCAAATGATACAATCATTATGTAAATAGAAAAAAAGCTTTTTAATAAAGAATACACAGCTTTGCAACTAGCAAATTCAGGGACAAAAAAAATTATGTTCATTAGGAGAAACCAATAATATATATTGCTCCATTTGACCATAATGTTGTTAAAATGGTGTCCCAGAGGTTAAAATAATAAATGTCTGTGATTTCACCCAAATATATTAGACTTTGTGAAGCAAGAGCATATTTGGAGACAGCACTTCAACGTTAACGGTTTTAAGGAACGTTATAAAAGACTGTGCAAATGACTAAGCACACTGTCTTAAACTCCAGCAATTTGCACCAGCTATTTTCAAATTAATTTATTTCATGAATCTCAGTATTTCACATAAACCACCCAACTACAAGAGAACTCCTCCCTCCTCTTTACTTACATCTTTAAACCTCCCCAGCCAGGTGAACTGAAGATACTCACTGAATGTGACATGATCCTTTGTCAGTCCCTTTTTCCTGCTGGGGTACAAATTCACAGTTGGGACCTGAAGAACTTGACTCATTCGGTTTTGTTGATGCTGATGGGCTTTTGTGGTTTGGCCAATTGATCTCATGGGCACTGGAGACATTTCGGAGGATTTCCCTCCTCTTCTCTCACCTAAATTCTTTGTCACTGTAAGGAAAAACTGCATATAAATATCTAGCACTTTCAGTTGCAGGATTATTGCAGTATAACCATCCAGACAAAGGAATGACTGTATAAAGAAGATAAACTGTATTGTAAACCATTTCTAGTCCAAACACTACAAAATCATCACACTGAAGACGATGTGTGAAAGAGCTTTAAGAAAAATCCCTAAATTATTTAAAGTGCCATAGAGGTACTTAATTAAAAGATTTTTAAAAATTGTTTATTTCTACCAAAAGCCTGTATTTTAAATGTTTGCATGCAAGGTGCAATTGCATAACAGCACCTCCTTCAAAATCACGTGGTTTTGCAACTGGCATAGTATGTTTCACTAGGTGGCACAAGTGATTCACAGCACAGGGCACTGCTTCAGCTTCTGCTTTAATCACACAGCAATTCACAGACTGAAGTTAAGGCAATCTGATTTCTCCTTATATTCTGTTGGAAAACTCTGGATTGCAGTGCCACTACTGCTCATTCCTACCACAAGCAAGGCCAGAAGCTTATTACTGAGGTAAGAAATGGGGGAGCTGAACCCCTGAATGTGGGTAATCCAAACAAGTGTGAAGAGACATCCCTGGGACATGTCAGTGCTCTCACTCCACCAGATTTAAAAACACGAGGGGCTGGCAGCTCCCTCATGCTACACATCACTCCTCAAATATCTTTCTCCCAGCTGTGTAACAAGTATAATCTCAACTGAATCTACTACCTGTGGGTTTTGGGGTTTTGGGCTTTTCCCCTAGTTTTTAAAAATTGTATGTTTAATAATATGCCACTCTACTTAATATTCATTTATATATCCACTTAAACTTCTTTGTTTTTTCTGATGTTTTAGAAAATACGGACTTGATTTGCTTAACTACATAAAACAGTCAATATATATTCCCCATTTTTACTTCAAAATATCTATGGCTAGCACTTTGCAAATAAGATTTTAATTTATTTTTTTAAACAAATAAAAAATCAGATAACATTTATGTTTTTCTCTTGGGCCTAGTACCTGTCATGACTGCACACAGATCATCAATAGTTCAAACATGAAGGATTTAGTATTTTTTAAAAGGGAGTTAAATATGGCCACTTCCAGGTTTCCTGCTTCAGTGCTATTTAAAATTAACTGCTAAAATAAAATTTGCATAAGATGGCATCTTAGGGAATAACAAGGATTTGCATTCTTAATACTGGCTAACAGCAAGGACTTAAATTTTATCTTCAAGATGCCATCTCCTAGTCATGTTTGGACTTACCTCATCAGAGACAAAACAGTATTTGAAGACAAAAAAACCCTTAAAATGCCATATCTGGACAAAAGACAAGCAGGAAATATTATTTTGTTTAGCATAGTTGTTACTCATCCGTTTTGAAACAAATCTGCCTTTCAAGAAAGTGAAAACTGCTAGAGTATTTAAATAAAACACAATTATAATTTCTCATTTCTAAATAAGAATTTACTGAACTGTGTAAGACAGCAGGTCAGACAACAGTTTTTTTGATGAGAGCTCAAATTATGAGAGCTGTCCTGCTGTAGTCCTCAATTTGTGACTATCAAGCCATTTCAAACTCATCAGTCAATATTGACCTAACTTCTCAACAACCTTCATTTATTCTATGGTGCAATTCATTGCAGTTTCTATATTGATTTTGTCTCTTCTTATTTCTTGCCGTTCATATGGTAAACACTACTTTTATCTTTCCTAATTCTGTGCAAGGACAGCGGGGCACCAACAGAGCTGATGTGCTATTGAATTTCCTGCCAGACTGATGGAAAGAGACACAGCTTTAGGAACTAAAGGTCAAAATAAAAAACATCAGAGACGTTTTTTGAGCTCAACAAGAACATGAACACACATGTTGAGGAATGGCTTGCTGATCAGGGTCATGGGTCTTTGGAAGCATTGTTCGAACAATCCCCTTGTTCAGAATAAGACAGGCTGAACATCATTTTGCAAGTATTGCAATGCGTGCTGATATGACAAGGACACTGTAATCTTGTCATCCTGCTCTATGTAACTTCAGAGAAGTTTCTCATGAGAACAAGGAAGAACCCTGGCAAGAAGGCAGAAATCTGTATGCAACCAATCAAAATGTGACAGCTGTACCTGTTGCTTGCTAAGTGTATAAAAAGCCATTGTAACAAATAAACGGAGCTTGCTTTATCAATCATATTGATTGTCTGCATGCCTTCCCTCGCCATCACTCACGTCTCCCCGCACACACATGCTTTCTTGCTGAAGTTCTCAGTACACAAAATGAAAAAAAACAACACTTACTACAGTATTTTCTCCTTGGAGGTAAAGTTTAAAAGAGTATTTCTAGAGAAGGAACAACAACATTTTTTATATATGCCATAGATCATGCTGCTGCTCTAGCTCACTGTACTTACAAGTGCTGTATGCAGGCTCACACTGAAGTGACAATATTTGGATCTTTTCTTCGTCTGTCTCTACACTGAGGTTGGACAGGTACTGCTTTACCTTCCTCGCCATCTGGGCATCCTCATAGAGCTTCTTGGCATTCAGTAGTGAGCTGCGGCGGGCACGTTTCTTGTGAGCACCTCCCTGCACGTCCAGCATGTTTGAGTTCATGCTGCCCTGGCTCAGAGACCTACAAGAGAAAAGATAAAAGCAGTAAAGGTTCAATTCACAACAGCCACAAAGAGCTATAGTAGCATAGGCCAAAGTAGATTAATACCAATAATCTTCAGTTAGGGCTAGTGCATGCTGATGCAAATGAGTTAAAAAAGATGAACAGCATTAAAATGACACTTGTCTTAACAGATCTGGGGAAATTGAGAGCAACAATTTGAGTCTAGAACAGGACTGCATATGAAAATGTGGAGCTGGGAAGAACAAGGGATAATGCTGCGTGTGGAACTCATTTAGCTCAGCTAATGAATCACAGGTTTGTGCTGCAAGATCTGCAGCTGATGAGAAGAAATAGCCTCAAGTTGTGCCAAGAGAGGTCTAAATTGGATATTAGAAAAAACTTCTTCATGGAAAGGGTTGTCAGGACCTGGAAGAGCCAGCCCAGGGCAGTGGTGGGGTCAACATCCCTGGAAGTATTAAGAAAACACATGTTTTGAGCACTTGAGGACATGGTTTAGTGGTCAACATGGTGGAGGTGTTGGGTTGATGGTTGGATTTCATGATCTGAGGTCTTTTCCAACCTTAACAGCTCTACGAATTCAACTGTAGATTCAAAAACTGGACAAACTTGCTACCTTTGTTGGTTTAAGGAACTGGGTACCCACTATGTGCATCAGGCTTACACAGAGACTTCTTGCACTTAGCTAAGCACAGAAGTAAGTGACCACTGCAACCTTCTTAGAAAACTGACCTTCTCATAATGGTTAAACAAGGGCCAAATTATGTTAAATGTACACAGTGCATTTGATTACACACTTAACTTCTTTCTTCAATTAACTAAAAACATTCACAGAAGAGCAGCTCATTAAAAAGACATATCCCCAAAAAGGTGAGGAAAGCAGTGATGATATACATATACCCAGATTTGTACAGACTTGCATCTATGAAAAAGGATGCTCCTCAATACTCCTAATTTTGAGCTCTCAAATCTATCAGTAACTGAAGCAAAAATAAATAATACTGTAATTGTTAAAGAATGTGAGTTACTCTCCCTGACAGTCACTCCTATTCACACTGAAAGAGTGGCCAAACAACTGATCTGGGTATAGTTTAAACAGTCACCTTTGCTTCAACTGCCAAAATCCTACAGCCACACCAGATCTGATGCATTTTTAAATAAATAAATATCACAGTATAAGTCACATGTAAAATCGAATGGAAAATGTCAAAGTTATTCAAAACTGGGTTTGTCTTCAGATTTTTAAATATTCAGATGAATATTTTTAAAGCTACATTGAATAATGGTTTTAAAAAGTTAAGATTTTTGCTAAGAGTAGAAGTAGTTTCCATGACCAAGATGTAAGTTAGGTAGGTAAATGGTAGGTTAATAATTACTAGATGCTTAGGCTATAGCTAATTGGTATAATTATCTGCTATTATAATTTTACGTACAGAAGAACGTAAAATAAGTAAACTGCTAACCATGAAGCACGGAGCCTTGGATCGTGCCAGAGGGTCACTGAGACCTGATGAAGACTCTCCTGACTTCATCCTTTGAGACCATTGACCCATTTCGAGACCACCGACCCAATTCAAGAGAAGAGCTGCGCACACGTGAAGGACTAATGGGCTCATTTTAATATGGGATGGGGATGGGAGGTGCTGGGGTTATGCATATGTATTGTATGTAAGATCTTGGGGAATAAATAGAGGGCAAAGAACCTTGTTTGGGGTGGTCACGCCTTTCGGAGGTGACTCCTGTGCCGCCCGCCGGTGAATAAACATACCACTTTCTAACTTTAATTAGTTAGAGGGTCTTTGTCCGTGATTATACCGGGTTTTTTTAATGATTCAACATGAAGACATTTATCAAGATCTTGTGTGTTTACAGAATCACAAGTGGCAGAATAAACATCAGGCACAGAAGAGCAATAATGGCCAAAGCAGTCAGAATGAAACATGTTGTTAGAGAAAATCCAAGGAATCAAGTACGCTGAGCTTAGAAAATAAATGTTGAGAAACAGCTGACTGCAATATTTTCAAATATGTTCAATAAATAATTCTGACAGAAAATATAAGCTTAAAAACTGTCAGAAATTTATAGCTTAATTAAATAAAAAAGTAATGTAATTGGAGATAAGGAGCAGCAAAAGGAATGATGAAGTGTTCACAGCTATTCAAACCAAGGAGACACTCCTGTCTCTTGATGGCTAAGCTATTCTATAATGATCAGGAAGAGTTATGTTTATGTTTAATGACAGAAATATTTTATGGTTTATGTACACACTGTTTTCTTTTTCTTTCAAGTCCGGATTTGACTTTTTAAGGCAATTTAATTCTACTTCCTTTAACAATTACTTTTCCTTATTCCCTTATGTTCACAGTAATTCCAAAAAAACATTAAACATTACAGTGGCTCCATGGGTCCTGGCTATTTCTCCCCATGAGCTGCCTTGTTAGCAGTTGATTATTGAGCACCAAATGCTCAACAAAATGCTGCCAGCCAAGGGCATTCACACCAGTATCAGGGATCAGTATCCAAACCTGCTAACCCCAGTATGACCAGCCCAAGTCCTGACCCTGTCCCAATCACTGCTATGCAAAGGCGCACAGGTAACACTTTATGGGCAAAAATACACACAACACATAAAATATGGCTACAATGGCAGTTTTAAAAACACTGCCCTGGACCAGGCAGGAACATCCCTGGCCAACATCAGAACTCTCATCTTTAGTTATTCCATAATCCACACCTCACACAACCAACACACTTAGTGGTATCAACAAGGATTTTGATGCAGGAAATGTGAGATACATTTTAAACATATACTAAAAATAAATACTTTGAAGTTTGCCTGAACACAAATTTCAGGGAGGAAATTACTACATCATTACTACAATACAAAGTGTCCTTATAGCTGAAAATGCAGAATGGCTTCAACTTTTCTGTAATATGCTAAAAGGCAAGTTACTTATTTATTTACCAAAATAGTTTGCCTTCTAATATAACTGCACAGCAGGTTTTTTTTTTTTGATGCACAAAGCCAAAACTCAAACAACTTAATCTACTACACAAAAGCAACTCAGAATTCCTATAGCTGCAGTAAAACATTGGCTGTAACCCCTTACTTCTGTTTTTAAAAAAACATTTATTGCAAGGTTAATAAAATGCATGCTATATTTCAGATGCATGCACTAACAAGGAGGATGCAGTATGTTAAGAATTGCATAATCTTTGTTTATCTTAGTTGCATTCAGCTCTACACTTACCCCAAACTTCTCCACCTCTTCTTCCTGTAAGCAAGAGCCATATACATTGAAGCATGTATTTGAACAGAAAAGCACAGGAAAAATAAAACAGTTGAGAGTCAGGAAGAAAGATGCAGACAGGAAAGAACAGAAAAGAAAAATCTCTATACAGCCAAATTCTTCTCAAACAATAACACAATGTTTTCATGAAATGCAAGGGCAAGACTTGACAAATACTTTAATATCTATCAGATTTCGTTTAACCTATGAATTGAAAAAATCAAACTTGCATTAATTTCTTTTATTTTCTGTAAGTCAAATTCAAATTTGATGGAGTGCAACTCATTCATATTGCAAATGGGATTAAATTAATTTATTCTTTGCATTAGGCCTGTTGAAACTGTATGAGAAATCATCACTATCAATATTCAAGTTCATGATACAGTTTTCTCTTGATTGTTGGCTGAAAAACAAGTCATTTGCCAAACAATCCTTGAAAGCCTAGACGCTCTCTGTAATTGGTAATGAACTTATGAGCAAGTCTCATGTTACCATTAATACACATCTTTTTTTGTTGACCTTTCATCCTCAAAAGCATTTATTTGGTGCTTCGTAACAGAAACTGATAGATCAAACACAAGAGGCAATGAAAATTAATATAAATGACATGAAAACATGGAATTATTTTCTTTTAATGTTTGGCACTATCTCTAATATTAGATGCCTAAGTAGTGTGCAGTGTGCATAATTTAAATTAAAGTCATCCAGATGTGTTCTGTAATTCTGAAAAACATACTAAAGGTAACTATTGACTATTAAATTTATTTAATGATTACACTTCATAAGGTCTTCGGAAGTGCATGGGCTATAAGGGAAATTTATTTATTAACTAATTTCAGCTGTGAATGCCAAAATTTCTGAAAAGCCATCACAACTTCTCAGTAATTCACTTTATAGTTTTATACTAAAAATGAAATCTTGCTAATTCCAATGCAACTGTATAAAGGTGAATCTCCACTGTGAAACAAATCCATCTTTAAATAACATTAACAGGATCCGTTATTTTTGGCTCAGACTGGGCCATTTTTAGAGTCACAGAACAGTTTGTATTGGGAGGGACCTTAAAGTTCATCACCTTCCATCACCTTCCACTAGACCAGGCTGCTCAGAGCCCAATCCAGGCTGGCTTTAAATGCCTTTATTTAAAAAAAAAAATTAAGAAAAAAAATCTTTCCTGATAGCCAGCCTTGCAAACAAAAACCAGACAGAATTGATGATCCTCTATGAATCCTGACCACTGGAATACCACAGGGCAAATATCTATGCTCTTATAAATGTTCCCTATCCTTGCATGCCCTATTTCCTTCCACTGCAAAGATGTTACTGAATTCACACATCAGAGAGAATCACAACTACACAGGTGACTGGAATTTTGGGTGGATGAAGCACACTTCAGCCAAAAACTGTTCATTGTGTCTCCTACTTGCACTATCCCTCCAGGGTGTTCAGAGAGCTCTCCTCTGCTGGGGTGCACGCAGGTGTGGGAAGCTCAAGAGAGTATTTTGTCATTTTCTGAATCAGAACGATGTGGCTATTCAGCACCAGACATGACCCAACTCCCCACGGAAACTGCACCCTGAGGGGTCTGGTCTGGCCCATTAATTTGAGGCAGAAGTGAGGCCACCACCCATCCCACAGACACCTACAGGATCAGAACCCTGTATGGACATAACAGAGCCTCTGATGCTTTTAGTTAAGCCAGTGGGAAGAAAACAGATGCAGGAAATAATTAATTTCCATTAAATAAAATCTGGAGCTAATCAGCACCAGATTAGAAGTTATGTTGCTTTTATTCTGCACTTTGCTAACACCAAGCCTGGAGATATTCTGCATCAAGATAAAAATTAAAAAGTAAGAAAAATAAGCCAAGAAAACACCCTCCACCTGCTGAAGCCTGAACATATTAAATGTTATGTAAGTGGAACAAGCTGTGCTTAGAACAAATAAAAATATTTCGTTTGAATTTAATATGTTATCAGTGGGGTTTTATTTTGAAACAACGTTTCAGATATATACTTCAGTGATTTAGGTGCTTTTTATCTCTCTCATACCTAAATATAGTACCCTGTAATATTATACCTCTCTCAAAACTCTACTGACACTAACATTTTATTTGGCAGAATATGTATCATTAAAATTAGAACCTATTGTTCTGTGTTTTTTAAAGCCAATAAATTGGTTTATTAGTCATTCAAAGCAGGTCTGGGAAGCATCATGTTTTTCCATAATTTGATAAAAGTTGTGGTTTGATGGTAGGTGTCAATGATGAGGTACACAATGAAATATCAGCGTGCTGATGCAAACAGAGACCCAGATCCCCTCCACACTGAGACCCCTTCAGTGCTACTGCCCTTCCCATTGCACACCTTTGTCTGAACATCACAGCTGGATCCATATTTGCCGAGGTCATGCGGATAACTTGGCGGATTTCTTTGGCAATCATCCGGAGTTTCTCAAAATTTACCAGGCCATCCACTTTCGAATCATTGCCTACATAATTGAAACACATACATAAGAAAATAAAAAAAGTAATAAATATTTCTGAACAGTCACTGTGCTTCTAGTTCTTCCCTTGTTACCCTTCTCCCCTCCCTATCCCCCAATCAACACAATTATCTTAATCAAAGTAGCAAGAAAACACGATGCTCTGACAAAACACTAATGGAATCAAACCCACGTGGACTACTCTGTATTTTTTTGTTAATCTATTTTTAAAGCAACAGGTGTTAGTAGGAGGAAAAAGGAATACATGAACTATGTCCCGATTCACTTGCATAATGTTAAAATAATATAAATACAGAATTGACATTAACAACATTCATATTAGGAGAGAAGTTGAAATAGTTCTGAACCATCACAACCAAGAATTAAGCGTATTTGGAAATTCACCTCAACCAGCTGTGAACAGGACTCTGTATAATGGGAACAAAATGGAAACATTTAAACAAAGTCCCTTGAAAATGTTGAAAGCAAGAGCAGGAGGTGTATCACTGGAGCTGTATGCATGTCATAACATGGAATGAAAACCTGTAAACTTTACAACAACAAGTTTTTTATAAGAGATTATATTTGAAGTAGTATAGCTACCAGACAGCACACTCACCTGTGCTTCCATCCTAAGCCTTAGGACAGCTGAGGAGGATTACAGCATTGCTTTCAAAATATTAAAAACACGCATTTTATTTTTAATTTTTGTCTAGGACCAGCCTCTTCCATTAGGCATTCCCAGTTCTATTTTATTTTACTCCTACAAAGGATCCTTCAAAAGAATCCTACTGGTAGCAGCTTTGTTAGACGCATACTGACACACTGAGCACTGAAGAATGGGCTGAAGTACATTCAGTGCTTCGTTTATTTTCTCTCTGTTTGACATTACCTTCATGCAGAAATGTGATATCTTTCTTGACAACAGGGAAAAGTGGGATAATTGGAGGCTGCATGCTCTGGCTGCTGAGGATGTTGCGGTACTTTGCCATGTTTCGAGATGGGTCAAAAAGATCTTGAAGGTCTCTGAGGTGCTTTTCATACTTGCTGGGTAACTTTTCCCAAGTGCCTCTGAGACGAGCTACCGGTGCAAGATTTAACCCACTGCAAGGCAGAAACGTTTCACTATTAGCTCTGAGCAGAATTGTCACCTTTCAGAAGGAATTGAAGAGTTGGGGGGTTGTTTTAAGGATTAAAAATAGCTTTCTGAAGGTTAACTGTGAAGCTGGGTAAATAGCAAGCTACAAGTTCATCACAATAATCCTTCGCTCTTTAAAAAGGACTGTAAAAACCATGACTGCTCAAATTTCAAATTACTGCCAAAATAATATCTCTGTAACACAGGACTGACATCTATTTAAGAACCACTTCTGTCCTGTAAAAGTGTATGCTATGGTAAGAACAAAAATGGTAAAAACATGCATGAGGTGAACTAATGATTGCACAGGAAATGAGAACAGTGAAGAGCTCACCCCAAGCAGAAGTAGCGAGACTTTAGAAATAAATTCTTCCTTGTGAGGGTGGTGAGGTCCCAGCACAAATTGCCCAGAGAGGCTGTCAATGCTCCGTCTCTACAGTTTTCAAGGACAGGCTGGATGGGGCTTGGAGCAACCTGGTGTAGTGGAAGGTGTCCCAGCCCATAGCAGGGGGTTGGAATAAGGTTATTTTTAAGGTACCTTCCAACCCAAATCATTTTGTGATTCTCTGACTTCAGAGCTTCAGACAAGAGCATTTACAAAAGAGCAACAGACTGAGAACTGGAAGCAGTAGATAAGCTAAAACTTACAACAGTGCCCTCATTCCCACTAATAAAATAAAAGTAAAAATATACAGAATTATTTTGATGCAAAAAAAACCCCATTAAATAGAAACATTAAATAAATTCAATCCATCCTCCCAATCATAACTTTTCACCAATTATGCTCAAGAAATTCTGCAATAACTGCAAAGTCCTCATCTTTGCAGAACTGGAAAGGGATGTGCTTAGGAAATCCAGAGCTACACTATCACTGAATTTGCTATTCTCAGGTTTGGGTTTTTTTAATCAAAAACTTATTTTGTATTTGGTTTATTTTTTAGACAAATTTCTCTCCATGCTATGCCAAACAAAGCCTTCTCTGACATGAAAAAAATCAAACATATGCCAATATGCCAGCCCTCAGCTCCTCTTTTCCATACTACCCCAGGATGGTTATCTTCCTATTTCATGAGACATATGGCACTAAACTGCTGTGCAGGGCAAGGCAAGAAAGAGAACCCCTCTGCCATATGTTAACCAAAACATATTCTTTTGGAAATAAAACAAAAACTAACTTATTTGCCTTTTTTTTTTTTTGGACAAAAGACCACATTAGTCATGGTCTGATTGGACTTAACTGAGAAGTAGAAAGAATAATTTCCTTGCCTACAATAAACCAAGAAAAATTAGGGAGTAGAATATAATAAATAAATAAATCAGTATCCGTATTTGTATTCCCACATAATGAGCAGCCGCAGACTCAAGGACTGTCCAGTACCCTTCACAGAAATTAATGAATTCTTTAATGACTAACCACAAGTCAATACACTTGATAAACTGGTTAGACATGTGAGAAAATATTTTTAAATCGTGTTTCCAACAATGCTGCTGGGATACAGCACAAATCCAGATCTTTGTCTGATGAATCACAGTGCCTTTTTTTTCCTACAGTAAAGGCTGGGTGTAACATAATTGCAAATACATGAAATGCTGAACTCATGCTGTTAAAGCAGCAGCATTCAGTATAAATCAGAAGAGAAAGTTTAAATGTGCAACCGAAGACGGAGAAAACAATATAGAGTAGCAAGCAGATGAAAGAATGAGAGCAGGAGAGAATGAGAAGGAAAATGAAGCCAAAACAAGACTGATTTGAGGAAGTCCTTACAATGGAAGGAATAAAGTCATCTCATCATCACATATATGACTCGGTGCATCCTGGAAAAGTAATAATGACTGACAAAAAGAAGGGAAATTGAGTGCCAAAGTCACAGAATATGACACAATGCTCCGGTAGGTTTCTGCAGTTCATCCATCAAACAATGCTTTTTTTGTACCCATCTTCTCTTTTCCTGAGAAGTACCAATGAAATCACTGTCACACCTAGCACCGCAACAGGACTGAAGTGCTGAGGTGACAGGGCAGAGGCTGCAGTGACAATCCACCTCTGACCAGCCTGGCTTTGGAAAAACACCCAGCCCCAACGGTAGTCTGCTCAGGATATTCCCATTTCTTTCCCTTCTGTTTGGATTAACAGAATTGCCTGTGGCAGCATCAATCAGATGTGAGAAATGGGAAGTAGTTTACCTTATCACTGCAAACATGGAATTGAAGTTCTTGCATTCTCGACAGTGGAGAGCAATTTTAATGAAATGCTTAATAATCTTCATTCTTTTGAGCTGGTTGGGTTCTGCTAAAATTTCCATGGCAACCCAGAAGGTCTCTTGATTAATGACATCCTCAAACTGTTTCAGGTGAGCATTCCCTGTTTTGGAGTCCAGCTTGTAAAGGTCATCAATGTATTCTGTTGGCTCAATGTTGCGGAATAATTCAAAGTCCCGCATGGAAAGCTGAGTGGCCACCTCAATGGTGCTCAGCTGGAGGAGGGAAATTTGGCTCTCTCGAAGTAGCTCTTGAGCATCCTCATCTGAGCATAAGGTCTCTGTTTCCATATTGTTTTTCAGATAATACCTGAAGAATAATTGGGTAACAACAGCATATTACAGATGCTTTTCAGAGGTTTTGTGAACACAGAGACATTGACCTATACTGATCACTGTGAGCATTACAGAGACAAGAAGAGAAAACATAACCTTGTACTTCAGTTAATGTAAAATAACACCATTACTTAAGTAAACAAACATTTCAAAAGCTATTTGTTAATATTTTTACACTGACTCGCTGTACTGTTCACCTTCAGAAAAAGGTCCGTTACTTTTCCATTTCTAAATTTAGCAGTGAAAATAGCTTTTTAAAAACACTTGTTCCAAGACATCTCTTATTAAAGTATTTCTACATTTCTTACACAGATTTATTGTGTTTTTTTCCATAAACTTAGTGTGGCATACTAATATTTGCTAATACTAATATGAGGAACAGAATATTCAGGAAATGAAAATATATCTGGAAAATTCATTCTATGGTCCCAGGTAAATCAGTTTCAGATACACAAAAGTTCATTATTCATAAATTCCCTCTGTTGACTAGCAAAGACGAGTACAGAATATTTTACTTTAATAAACTTTCTTCTAGAATGGATCAGGTCATCAGATAAAACCAAAGCACTTAACATTTCAGAAAGATTCAGAACAGTTTACTTTAAAAAGGAAGAATTTATCTCAGGTTAGTATCAGCTCATTGCAGCATGACACTAAGAAAGAAATTAATTGTATACTTTAATTCTCAAGTACAAATGTCAAAACAAATACAACCATTTTCTTTTAGTGTAAACCACTATATACATTATCTTGATCTGCTAAATTTAGCTGTCATTAAGCAAGCTTGCTGTAGATTTAGGGAGGGATTTTTGGGCGCAGAAGAGAGGGAAGTGTACTGTGTGCTGGTACCATGGTAGTCCTATTGCTTGTGCTTCCAACAGAGACCTGTCTATTTTAATTAAAACATCCCTCCCTGATGCTGGGCTTTATTATCGAGGAGGTCTTTTCCAACATACAATGCTTCAATCCTGAAAGCCAAATAAGAGCCAAAGGTGAATTTACCGTCCATTAAGCTGAATCCTGTCAGCCAGCTTGGAGAACTGATCTGGAAGCCTCCGCTGTTTGATGACCCCCTCGGGGCTGACGGACACCTCACACAGGGAATAGGTCTCTGGGGCTCCTGTCAGGTTGAATTCATGGACAGCATGACTCACCACCTCCTTTGCTGTAGTGTCTTTGCTGATGATGATGTAACAGCTCTGCTGATCTGCTTTGAAAACTCGTATCACTTGATCTGGAATATCTAAAAGTAGAGCATAACACCTTTAATGTGAGAAGTTACTTTTCCCTTGAAAAGACACAAGGTCACTTGGAGAGATATTTCACAAGGGCATGTGACAGAACAAGGGGGAATTGGCTTAAGCTGAAGGAGGAAAAGTTTAATTGGATATTAGGGACAAATTCTTCCCTGTGAGCAAGGTGAGGCCCTGGCACAGGTTGCCCAGAGAGGCTGTAGACTCTCCACCCCTGGAGGTGTCCAACACCAGACCAGATGGGGCTTGGAGCACCTGGTCTAGTGGAAGGCAAGAGGTAGAACTAGATAATTTTTAAGGTCCATTGCAAGCCAAACCATTCTGTAATTCTATGATTTACTGTCCCCATTTGATCATCTGGAAACAAAAACAATCAGCTTCTGGGGAAAGAAAAACATGCTGACTTCAAAAATATTTAAAATACTCAGGGCTTTTCTTCATCTTTGTAAGGAAAAAAGAAGACTCTTCTCTCTGCTCTTCTTCAATTCAATTACTCTACCATCCCACAACCCCAATCAAAATAGAAGACATTCAGGTATGTAACTAGACTGTGCACCATTCCTTCACAGCGTGTCTTAAAAACTTTGGCAGCATCATTTCTTCTTTGGCTCTCTTGTGTCTGTGAAAGCCAGATCCACACCCATGCCAGGACATGCTTACCAGGGATGGGAAGCCACCAAGTACAGATGGATGGGCTTGAGGTAGGAAGAAATTAAGAGGAAAGGAGATTTGTTTGCTCCCAGAACTAGCCGCAAGCTTTAATGCTCACTCTCTCCCCTGAAGGAATTAAGCTGCTGCCAGCAGTTGGCTGATGTACTTATTTACAGCACATTTTATGTATTACAAATGCATTAGAGAACAGCTTTATCTGAAGCAGCCTAGAGCAGGAAATAAATATCTACAGAAACACGTGCTTAATTCACACCTTGATGATTGCAAATAATTTGCCCTATTAGCTATTACAGAAAGTTTGATTTTCAAAATAAAACTTAATTTAAAAAAAAAAAATCAAGAGTCAAAATGCACAGTAATTTTAAGCACAGGGAAGCCCTGTTCTTCCCTTCCCTGAAGTCTGAAGACTAAAACTTCACAACTTTTCTGCAGACCTAAGAAGGTGGATAGCTGTTGCTGAGCTCTCAGCCACAGTTTCAGAGTCTGAAGTTCTGCATAACCACACCAGAGGCACTTGTGCCATAACTGCTGCATCACCTTCCCAGTGAGGGAAGCTAGGAAGGGAAGCTGTCATTTAAAGCTACAGCCTCCCAAACAGCCCTTCCCTTCTCTCACTGCTATTTGTCCAGCCCTTAAAAATGCAGTGATAAGTGCCAAATCCTGGATTGAGACACGTGACCTGCCCTGGAGCACCAGTGATGATCAGGTGTCCCTCTGCCCAAGGGGAACAGGCCCAGTGAATCATCCTGCTGGGCAGAGCATGCAGGTCCTTCAGGCACTCCCAGCAGCAGCTCTCTGAGCACAGTTTTAGATGCTGCTCACCCCATTGCCTATACACTGATTTTCCTCCATCAAAATCCACTGCTTAAGGAGCCAACAAAGATATTTAGGGACAGTGACCTTGGGATTTCTTTCTCTTGCGTCAGGACTTCAAGGTGTTATGGGCACAAGTAGAAGGAATTTCAAGGTCAAAAGTAAGCAGGTAATCTATGATCCAGCACAAAGGTCCCACCCACTGGAAAAAATAAAGGCTCAACATCAGTTGTAAATAAATTTTAAGACGGAAGAAAAGATGGTTTAAAAAATTCTGATTGAAAGCTAATTCCTCTAACAGTTTCATGATTACGATTAATACATTATCAGAACATTCTCATCAAAAGCTGGGTTCTAGCTGAATATGAGAAGTTCAGTATATATGTAAATAGGGGCAATATAAGGGAGAAGTAAGTATTTTGCACTTTATTTCAGAATGAAAGTGGTGAAAATGACATTGTATAATTAGAGAAGTGCCTACACTCATAAAAGTGATATTAAAAAAACAGAAGAGGGAAACATCTATACCTCGGTACCAACATACCTAAAAAACAGAACATACTCAAGGTGGAAAACTTAAAACTGAAATTTAATTGGGGAGAAAAAAGTAAAAAAGAAAAAAAGAAAAAGAACCATGTGACCAAAACAATGTAACTTGTAACAGATAAGGGAAACATAAATTATAGGTACATTTCTGTCTTCATGGTCGTCGCTTTTAAGCAGACAGATTATTAAATTAAAAAATTTTAATGCATTATTCAGCTCATTTTGACAATACAAAGCACATATCAAGTTGGCATGCACAGAATTTTAGTTATGAAGTACAACAGAAGAACAAATTAAATCTCAACTGTTATCCTCTGAAACTTCAGTTCTATGAAAGAGATACAAACAATTTCATCCCTTCAAAGCAAGGCCACAGAGAAGCAGAGGAACCTGCCAAAGGTCATTCAGTGTGCTGGGGGCAGAAATGGGAATAAAATGCAGGTCTCAGCCTCAGCACAGCACTGCACCTGTACAGGAACCTTTGAATTTGTTTTAAGGAAAATTACAGAGGACAGGGCTATCCAATGCCCTACAGTAATAACTATGTCAATGCAATGTCTGATAGTGTTAAATTTACAGGCAAGCCATGCAATATTAAGGTCTACATGAGGATACTTACAGTAAAACCCAACAGCTGCAGACAGGAGAAAAAGAAAAAAAACCGTATCAACACCAAATCAAGATTGAGACGCTTACAAAACTTATCAAGTGTACACTGTCAGAAATAATTTGGTTTTCTTTGGCATTCAAACATGGCAGCACATTTGTTATAGCAAGCTTAAAGTAAAGCTTTAAAAAGTGATCCAGTTGAAGATGTCCCTGCCCATGGCAGAGGAACTGGAATAGATGACTATTAAAGATCCATTCCAACCCAAATCATTCTGTGATTCTATCCAAGATTAATCAGTTAACACTATTTCATATTAAGCAATAAGTTTTATAGTATTACATTAAGGTTTTTAGAAGAATGTGTAGCTCTCATGCAGACAGCAAGGATCTGGAACTGAAGCAAAAAGGGAACTTTTTGGGCACCTGACAGGATATATCTGTGCACATCCCTTTTAAAGGGGAAATCTGCAAGTTTATGTAAACATAAGTCACAGTCACAAAACACTTTACAGAATTATGTCATTATACAGAACTTGCACTTAAAATAGGGATAGAAGATTCTGACTAGACGTATTTACAGGCAGCTGCATATTGCAACAAATGTCTCCTGCAGCCCCTCCTTAAACTGGATTCCTACAGCAACAGCAATGAAAGCCCAGACCACGTACCTCAAACATTTTTTTAGGATTTTAGACATACCGTTGAATATACATAATGTTTGTAAAACATGAAACATGAACATCACTGTGCTGGTACCATGGTAGTCCTTTTCTACCCACAATACCGTATGAAATATACTGACCGATGGAAGGATGAAAAAGTCAAAGCACCAAGGAGAGACAGCAAAGGAGAAAGGAGCAAAAAAGAGCTTCTCCTTCCACCAGAGCCAATTTACTCCACTAAATTAAAGGCTCTCAGAACTGGCAAAATACATTTCTTTGTAAAAAATAAGTAAGTCCCACATTATCTGAAAAAAGTAGGCAAGAGAGGTTCAGGCAGTGTGTATTTTCAGTACATCTCCAGTTTGGCCCTGTTAGGCCCACAGGATGCACAGGTAATTGCACTCAGCAGGAGTGATGCTAGTAACAGTTGCAATTTTCCCCAGGACTCAGCTGCCTTGCTAACCATCCTGTAAATCAACCTCAAGCTGCCATTTTACCTGAAGGGTTAGAGAAATCCAGAATACTGGGTGTGGGCTGCAGCAGGTCAGGGCTACTAGATGAGAGGGTGCCCGGAATGGGCATGATGGCCAGGCTGTGCCGGCACTGCCGTGTCCCCACGATGCTGTCATCCTGTGACTGGCTCACGCTGCCATCACTGCAAAATAGTTCTGGTTCAATTATCTGCATTAAACTCCTCCTATTCATCTTGGGATGAATGAATCTAAGAAAAATAATGGTGTTCAGTTGTCTTAATTACATGCTGTAGAGACAGGCTTTCAAAATAAGGATAGGGGAAAAAGATTTGAAAGTGTTCATCAGTAGAGAAAAGATATTTTGGTCTTGTTCTGTATTCATGGGCAGATGCCATGATTTTTTAAAAAACATAAGCAGTGTGAACATAACGACTAGAAATACTAAGCAATTGGTATCTCTTAATGGCCTGAGGATGAAGGAGGGTAGGTTTTAGGTAGATGGTTGGGAGAAATTCCTCCCTGTGAAGGTGGTGAGGCCCTGGCATAGGTTGTCCAGAGAAGCTGTGGCTGCCCCATCCCTGGCAGTGTCCAAGGCCAGGCTGGATGGGGCTTGGAGCAACCTGGTGTAGAGAAGGTGCCCCTGCCCAATCCTGGAGGGATTGGAATGGGATAGTCCTTAAGATCTTTAAGTTTCCTCTCAACCCACTCCCCTTCTTACCATTCTATGATTCTATGATTAAAATATCACAACCTAATAAGAAACCATCACTTTTTGACAAAAGAGTATGACAAACCTGAACAGTTTTGGAGGCAAGATGCTGAAACGGGTCTTGTCTAAAATTTTCCTGATTCTGTTTCTTCCACCAGATACAGTGTTTGCTTTCATTTTCTTGTTTCCTTTTTCACGGGGTAATATCTGTTCCACATCTCCAGGCATATCTGGGATAGAATAACGGTTGGTTCTCTTTTCTGCAATTTTTGGAATATGTGGAATTCCATTCTTCTCCTGTCCTATCCTGCAGAGCAGTTCCTTAAACACTGAAGAGAAGATACAGTTGTTGTGAGTAACCTTTGCACACTCAGAACTTCACAATGAATTCTTCTTTTCCCCTCAAACCTTTTGCTTCCCACGTCCCAGAGAGAGAATAAGGAAATGCTGCATTCAGAGCACTAAGCACTATGCGTTTATTGGCTTTTTTGTTTGCATCTTTCAGGTAATGGAGTGCACATGCTTCTTCAAGAGTAAGTGCAAAACAGACCGATATTTTCCCAGACTGTCTTTGTTTGCTTCTACTAACACTACTGAACAGAAGCTGCATCAAATTTCCTATTGCATTTATGTAACTACGCTAGTCTATAACCCACACCGACATTTTCAAACCTAGAATTCCGTGGAAATTATAGGGGTTTTGTTCTGTTTCTTTCCACTTATATTTAGTGAAAAATGCTAAAATTGTCTTGTCAACATCAATTATTTCTTTAAAGATCCTTTAAAAATCTTTTGAAAATCTTTCAAGTCAGAAATTCAGTATTTTCAGTTCAAAATATGATGATACTGGAAGAATGCAGAACTGAAAACAAAGCAAATTACTCAGATTGTCCCTATGAGCAAAGCAATCAAGGTTTTCTGTACAGAAAATCCAATTAAATGGTACATTTCTGTTGGATAATAAAATGTAAAGCTACAAGCTTTCCCAGTATAGATTTGAATAGAATAACAGGAATTGCTCATAGTACCAGGCACTTAACACACAATTAAAAAGTCAGGATAATAAATATCATAGTTGAAAAAAGCTTCAAGATATTAATTCATTAAAATTTATCAGAGAAATCACCTTGAAATTCTATCAGCTAACAGGATGAGATTAGCATCCACTTGCAAATGTATGTTGCTCCCATTTATAATATAAATGAACAACCTATCACTGTCTCAGTTACAGTGATGCTTCATTTCACATCATTTCACATTAGTCTCTGGATGTTTCAAGTTTTTTTGTATTATGCTAAAAACGACTGCTGAAGGCTTTAACCTTTTCAGCTGCACAGTGATAAACATAGTATAATAATTGAAAAGAAAATCAATAGTGAACAATGGCAGGTAACTGGAGGAAGGAAATAGGAAAAGAAAACCATCAGAAGATACAGACACAACTATAGAGGAAGGAGTTATCCTGTGGACAATCTCCTTCTTTCTATAGCTTTTGTTATTCTGTTCCCCGAACAAGATGATGGAAAAGTAACAGATTATTTGACTGAGATTTTGAAGAGGTATTTAGGTGCTTATATTCATGATGGCAATTAAAAGCTAACATTTATATGCCATCCCACTTTTTATATCCCTTTTTCAATTATAAAGGTAATTTATCCTCTCTTTCTTACAGTCATTAAAGAAAGTTTTACAAAATCCCAGTCTTACACTTTTGCTGTTTCTTGGCAAAAATATTTTGATCCAGATCCCTTGGCTTTGTTTCAGCCCTATTGCGTGGAAGGACACAAAATCATCTTAAACAGTCATCTGACAATTTCTCAAGGAGTTGAAGAGCTGCCTGTGCTGGCTCTGTGCCACTCAACATGCAGCCCTTGGCACTTGATAACTTATCCAAGCAAACAGAGGCACAACAAGGGAAATTTTGCATAACTTCTCACATTAAGAGCAAGTTGGAAAAAAAAGGTGGAACCCTATTGCACTTATAAAGCCAGAAGAAGTGGAGTTTTTCCTTCACACATAAGGATATATCATATATAAAGTCTACTCACCAAAAATGTTTGTTTTTACAGTGATGGAGAGGTGTGTATTATTCTTTAAGATTTCCAGAGCTTTTACAAAGGTAATGTTCTCAAAATTCTGTCCATTTACTTCCATTATCTTTAAGAAATAAAAATTGGACTATTAGGAGAACATCTGTCTGACAGACTTACAAATACAAAGGTGATAATACGGGCACAATAAGAACTTCCCAGAAATTACCATATCATCTTTACAGCAGCTACAGAATGAAAACATTCCATGTAAAATAACTATTTTCATCACATCAGAAAAGCTATGCCCTGTAAATAAGTCAGGACTTCCATTTTTACTTGAAAAATGCTTTAAATAAGTTGATTTCCTATGGTATTAGGAACATTTTTGCAATTAATCAAAAATGGTGGATCATGAACCCACAGAGCTAATATTGCTTCAAAAGCTGAATTTGCACTGAGTATTCCACCTGCCTCAGTGAGCTGGGATCAAACACATTAGGTGATAATCAATCCCACAAAACAATTTGATGGTTTCAATGTAACCATATCTCCAATCAGAAAGTTTCAAAAAATAACCATAACTTGCTTTCTTTTCTCATTCTGTTTTTCAAATATTTAAATATTTTACATATTTTTAAAATTATTTAACAGAAACCCATTTAACAGATATAAATGGAAGCTGAGCTGTGCCATTCCCACACTTGCCAGTGGTTTGGTTTTAGTACTCAGCATAACATTTCTGTTGAGAACAATCAAGAGGTGGATGAAGCAGAACATTTTAAATTAATGCAATTGTTTCTACCTGATCACCACGCTTAAGTCCAGCTTCTGCTGCTTTACTGCCTATCTCCACAGTCTCTACAAAAATACCAAACCCCTTGTCACTGCCTCCAAGAAGGCTGAAAAACAGGGGAGAATCTCTGGAAGGTTTTTGCAGGGTGATTTGTCTCCACTTTGCTTTGGCAGCACAGGCAATATTCAGCAATCTGAGATGGCCTTTCATTTTCTGTTAACGCAGAAGACACAAAATGCAGTGCAATGTTTCTTTTATCAGAAATAGAAAAACAGTTAAGAAAAATACCCCAAGTGCCAGAAAATCGATTTCTTATGCCAGATTTTCAGATCTTACTAAATTAACCTTGTTCTCTTTTGCAGAAATGCAGAAACTCCTAAGTGAGTGCCATAGGTATTACTTTATATGGCCTTTATATCTCATTTATACTTAAGAACAAATATGTCCAATATTAAAAGCCACCTGTTAACTGTTACACTTAGAGACTACAGCCGTTAGGCACTGGTAACACTCGAAAATTGAGATATGTGGTACTAGAAAATGTGACACTCATTCTTTTTTGCTCCTACCGTATCTTCCAAGTTCTTTTCAAATTCTTCCAGGAATCGAGTCATGGCAGGATCTCCTTCAAAGTCATTAAAATGATTGTTCACCCATAGTAACACTACTCTGGTAACCTGTAAAAACAAAATATATTATGTATATATATACATATATAAAGGTACCTATGGTTCTTCTCCTATAAGCTTTAATCTATAAACACAGAGGAATACTTGGATACGGCAGAACAACACAAAGCACATTACTGTATCTGATAGGAAAAATAAATTTACACTTGAAATCATTTTCTCTTTCCCTTTATTTGTGAAAGCAAATGAAAAATTTAAAACTCAAGTATTTTTACACCTAAAAATACTGGCTACGTCACCCAGTACCTACTGGTGCACAAATCCATCTTCAGCTAAGTCTTCCTGACACTGTTCATAAAAATCACCTTTTAAAGCATCCTAATGATTTCTTTAAAGGAAGTTCTAGTTGTGATAATAAAAAGATTTCTTTTAAGAAATTTTAGTTAAATCCTCAGATTGCTTCTGTGAGTGCTACAGAGTCACTACCATTCATGATAAAGTCAGTCTGACAACAATATTATCTACCCATATTATAAAAAAATCTAAGTCTATAGCAGTTTCTCTTTTAAAATTATACAATTTCTGCTTTTGTTTGACGACACACTTCTCTGTATCTTTCCTTTTATTAATACCCAACAGTTGCCAAAATGAAAAGCATGGAAAGAGGTAAGAAGAAACGCAGTAACCACAGCAGACCCTGCACAACCTCATATTCAAAACATCTAGTGTTTTGACAGTACATTGGACTTCCTCAGCTCAGGGCTAGAACACATAAAAACATTGGCTAAGAAACATGATTTAAGTTCCAGTCTATCAAGGTTTTTCATGAATGTGCATGCAGTTAGATAGAGTGGAACCTGGTTTTATTTATCCTAGTTTATCAGCAATATGAAAAGGGATCAATTTAAATATATTTTCACCAGAAATATTAATCTCTTAAACTCCAACCAACCTTATCCCTGAGGCTATCCACTGTAAACCATTCCAAGAGTTTACTTCCAACTTCCAAGGGACTTGATAGAAATGTTCTGTATGTTAAAAGAAAATCTTCGATGTATGTTGGATCCACAATAGAATGTTCCTCTATTAAATGCATGATGAGTCTCTCGGGTGTTGCCTTAAAAAAGCAAATGAAAAAATAACTTATACCTCTCATCACCACCTCTCCCTAAAGAGTAATTCAACATAAACCCACATGAACAGTATAATCCCTTTAGAAAGTTCAGTTATGGCCAACTCAGGAGAACACACACCAACATATTTACATCAAATGCTCCTGCTTCTCAGTCCTGACCTTTTGCATAGGTTACACCTGGCTAAAACAATAGGTAACTTCCCTTAATTTTATTTTTTAGTAAGCAGTTTAAGTTCCTCTTTCAGATTACAAAAAAAAGGTCATAAAGACCACAAAGGCTTCTCCCAATACAAAACTCAATGCAAGTGTTGAACAGGTTACAATGTATGCAACTTTATTAGAGGGGAAATGGAAGTAAATTTGGAATATAATACACATTCCTTCCAGTCAAGTTTTTTGAGCTGACACAGACAAAACTGAGTATGTATACTAGATTCAAACTGAAATTGTATTTCTTTACTAATAAATAAAAGTTTAATAGATTAATGGAAAGCACAGAAAGAAACCTTGATAACTATGTGTCCTTTTCTGGTTCCACTGCGATCCAGCTCCCTGTGTTCCTTTACCATCACAATTTCTCCTTCTTCCTCCACTTTATGAGTGTTTTTTTCCACGTGGTTCAGAATCCTCCAGTAGTCTTGCTGGGCTATACACACGAACTGTCCCCAAGGACAACAACAGTGATTAAAGTATCTAACATATGAATGTATCCCCATCTTATCCCCATCTCCAGGCTAAACAACCCCAACTCTTCCAGTCTGCCCACAGCAGAGGGGCTCCAGCTCTTAGAGCACCTTTGTACCCTTCTCTGGACCTGTTCCAATCTGTTTTCTTTTATTAGATGCTTAAAAATAAGAAGTAGTTTTATATAGAACTGCAACCTTACCTGACAATCATCTACTTTGGTTCTGACCACTCCATTCATGTACTGCTTGTCCAGAGAGGGAGTAATCCCAAAACTATTTCCCATACAGAGACTCTCACTCTTCCCATCAGGATAGCTGATTTCTACTGTGCCATTTAAGATAACATACCAAGAATCAAGCTAAAGAAAGGAAAAAAAATTAAAAAGTGAAGCTTCAACAATTTTTGTAAGCTCTTATCTCAGAAAGGCTCATTCTTGTAGCCTCCAGTTTGTTGTCACCACCTCTCTGCAACATTTAATTCACCAAAACTGCACTAAAAGGCAAGAGATGGAGACTGAAAAAGGAATGCTTTTCAGCTTTCTTCACTCACTTCAGAACTGATTCTGGAGGGAGAAATGCTGATTAATAGATTGCTTTCTTAATAAGTAGGCTAATTGCTATGATATATTTGTACCATTTAGTGAAAATGAACATTCTTTCCCTGGGTACCCATTTAGTCACTACCAGAGGTGAGTCTACCTCATCCTTTCTTGGAGGGATGAACACAAAATGCCATTCCAGATGTCTTGATGCAAGCAGGAAGAGAGATTTCAAGATAGTGGTTCAGGACACCTATGTTGGGAGCCTGACTATTGAATGATTTAACACCTCTTCTGGAAGCAGTGACTTACTTCCTGGCCGTCTTCAAGTATGATGGCTCCTGCTTGCTCTACAACTTCAAATATCATCACTGAGCACAGTTCTCTCCTCACAGACATGGTCATGTTTGCAAAGGCAGGGAGTTGATGCATGAATTCCAATAATTGTTCTGTTGGACAAAGGAAACGTTGGTATGATGACTGCAAGGACTAGGGTTTCCTTGGATTCCTTACTCTCCACAAGTATATTAAACTCCAGTTAAATTCATTTGGAAATTGTTCAGTGATGTTATACTTCCCAGTAGTGCCTGTGGCTAAAAGAGCCCAGTGTGCAGTCTGTCATCAACAACCAGAACTCAGCTCCACAGCCTTGCTTGTGCTCTGATTGACTCTCAGGGCAGCAGTCTAGTTAAGAGTAAAAGCACTTCAGCTTTAAACATTTAGAAAAATTAAACATACCCCTAGGTACAGTAATTATAAGCTAGACAGGAGCATGAAATGATTTTCCAGTGTTCAGAGCCACAATCTGAAGTACAGCAGAAAGTAGATTTTGCTATTGAAATTCATGCCAATTTCTTGTTAAAACTGCAGTAAATTATCTTCATTTTAACTGTTTTGCAGTTTACAGTTAAGTATTCTTATACTCAGTAATAGTATGCTCTATTTAATAAAAAAAATAAATATTTAATATTAAATAAATAATTTAAAAAAAATAAATATTTAATAATAAAAAAATTGCTATTTAATAACTACTTCAAGAGTTTCAGGCAGTCAAAAATTACCTTGCTACCTGTCCCATTACATCAATGCATACAATAACTGTAAAACCTACATCTTGAGCATCAGAAAGACTGCTGTTCAAAGTACTTGGATTCTCAGAACAAATACTCTCTCAGATAGCAAGAGAAGACATAATTCAATTAAGAGTATCAACAGATCAAAGGGAGACATCATTCAGTTATTAAGATATACACTGAACATTAACGCATTAAACAGTTTTCGGTTATGTTTCTCTTACAGATATTATATGAAGTAGCCTTATGTAAATTTTACTACTGTATTTTTTTCTCCTCACCAATGTCATCATCAGTTTTATCTGCAGGCTCTTTCTCAAGGCACTCTCGGACAACATCTCGCCCTAGAAGTGGATCAGAAGTTCTGTCAATATCTTCATCCTCCTCTTCTTCTTCATCTTCAGAGTCTACAGGTGCTTCTGGAAGACCCGTTAAATCAACATCTCCCATCTCACTTTCTGTAGCCTACAAAGAAAACATCAATCAGACAGAGTTCAGTGTCCTCAGTTCAATGATTTATGGCCTGAGGTAGCCAATTTAAAAATATTAAATTCTGTGACCAACAAGTCTAACTAGAATCTCTCACAGCTCTCTTTCTGAACACTGAGGAAAACATGTTATGCTGAAATCAAGCATTTATTCTTCCTTGTGAATTCATGCAACATTGTTTTTTCCAATTTGAGTCTGGAGTATTAAGAAAATAATAATATAGTTTAGCAATACCATTGGTTACCCAATGTCTGTGGACACATTTCTACTGTCAGTAATGGATGGCAACAGAGACATCACACAGAGCAGACATACAAGACAATGGTGAACGAGAACAAAATACCAGCAACAAAAACCAGAATCACATAGGAATCACTTGCACTAATTCCTTCAGTACAGTTTAAATGATGTAATGGCATGAAAATACATTTCCAAACAGATGGAATGGGAAGAAAAATAGTTTCAAATTCTCAATTTCTACAGAGTAGTTGCTCAGTCACTTTTTTTAAAGCTTAAGCCAGAATGCAAACCATTTTTCTGTTTAAATTCAGAAATTTGAATAAGATGTGTCTCTGAAAAGTATAAGGCAATTATACAGAAACTTGCAGAAAATTGAGTTTGTTTTTAAATGACCACATTTACAACATTCACTTTCACTTTGAAGCAATCCTTGAGATTTTAGAAAAACATTGAACTAAGGCATCATGTACCCTGCATGTTCACAAAACATCCGAAATAAAGGATGAATTTGAACACTGTAATGGGGCAGAGCACAGCTTCTTTGGACAACCTGTACCAGTGTCTCAAAACCCTCACCATAGGCAAGATTTTCTTCCCTATATTCAAGTTTAATCTACCTTTTTCAGTTTCCTTGTCACTAGAGGACATGGTAAAAAAGTCTTTCTAATAAATCTGCTTTAAGTATTGACAGAGTGCAATAAGGTATCCCTGAGGCCTTATTCTCTTTTCTCCAGTCTCTGGGAGTTTCACATGACTGCCACAACTACCAGATGGAGACTGCCTCCACAGTTCCATCGGACAAGTCCTTCAGGACCCTGTGATGCATTGCCTTGGGTCCCATGGACACATATACGTGGTCTCAAACACGACCTTCTCTTCACACGGGAAGGAGTCCGTTCCCCCAGTCCCTGCCTTGATGTTCAGGGAGTGGAGAAATGTGGGAAGAGAACCTGTGAAAACTGAGACAAAAATTGCCAAGTGCCTCAGCCTTCTCCATGTCATCAGCTCTCCTGCCTTATTTAGTGGGGGAGTGAAGCAAAATATCTCTCTGGTTTTTTGATTTTTTTTTTAGTAACGTACCTCTAGAAGCCTTTCTGGTTTTTGCCACATCCCTTGCCAAATCCAGCTACAAATCGAACCTTATCATTCCTGATCCCAACCCTACACATTAAGGCAGTGCTCCTTATATTCCTCCCAGGACACATGTCCCTGATTCCACTCTATGCATCTCCTTCTTGTGCTTCATTTTGACCAGAAGGTCCTTACTTGGTCACTGCTCTCCTGCTCTTACGGCCTCATATAAAACAATATTGACTTTATGTTATTTAAACACACCAGACTGCACTGTCTCCATGCTGATGTGAGCTCCAATACCTGCACAGAGGAACAGCTTTGTCTTCCTATACCAGAAAAAAAATACTGGGGTTTATATATAACTTTGGGCCTTGGAGCTTGTCCTCATTTTGGTCATTAGCCAGCAAATCTAATAAATAAAGCTTAAATGATTTCAAAATGTATATGTCTTTCAGAGGAGGGTAACAATATAGAGAGGGTTAAATCTGTTTTACATTACATCACTTTACTGGCTTCTGTAGCTCACATTAACAATTTTGGAATTAAGCCCAAGTGCAAATTGTACTTGGAGAGTCTCAGCAGCACATGATCAGTACAGCCTTTTATTCAAGGACTTTTCTAGCATTTCTTCATCTAAATAGCCACAATTTATATCAACTGCTCCATGCTAAGACAAACAGCAGCACCAATTCTCACTTTGGTAAGCCACTGTAAACCAGAAAAACTGAGGCTACAGGCTCTACCAAATTTTTCATAACCTATATAGGAAAACAGACAAATCAACTCCTTTCTTGATAAGTAAGTTATGTTTTGATCAAACTATGAAATAGGAGCGGGTCCTCCAACTATGTTTCAAAGATTCTGTGCACATGGTTGACAGAATGCTGGCAGGCCAGACAGTGCTGGAAGGAACAGGAAGGATTTTGCTCATAAAGCCATCTGCAGAAGTAGCTGCTCTTCCCAACCACGATTCTCTAGCTGTTGCCATTATCAAATATAAAAATCACTCCTAAAACAAATATTTATGAACTACTGATGTACAAAAGGAAACTAGAAGCTGCAATCCTCAAATCTCAGACAAATATGGATTTCTGTGATCAGGTCCTTGATACAAGGGTATCTACTGAAATCCACATTCTTGATAATTATTTTATAGATAATCCATTTTAATATCAAAGCCTTCACCACAACTGGAATTACTGCTGGACAATGATGTTGCTGCCGCCAAAGAAGACATATTCCCAAAGTGATAAATGAGGAATTTTGAATGAAATTAAAGGAGAGAGAACCTTTCAGCACAGAAATAAACAGGTAGGAAAAGATTAATGCAAACTAGGTGGTTACTGAGAGAAGATGATTGGCAGGTATTGATACAAGAAACTCATTTCTGAGAGTAGAGGTGAGACCCTGTCCAACCACAACTAGAGATACAACCTCAATTCCTTGTGTGACTCTGGCTGCACACCTTAAACCCTGGCCCATTGTCTTGGGTTGCAATGCAGGATGTGACCGGACCTGTGTATTCTATCACCATCTGTTGAAACTAGGTAGGGCAGTGATCCTTATCTCTGTGGAAGATATTCTCTGCTAATGACCCATCTGTTAAAACCAGGTGGAGCAGTCATCTTTACCTTTTCCACAACCCATTCTTCCTCCAGGAAGATATCATCTGTTAATGGGTCATTGAATCCCACTGCATGACTGATAAAATTACATCATCCCATTGGGAGATGCTCCAGCCAGGGGGAAGAGCCAAGCCTTTCCTACCTAGATAAAATCTAAGATTCGGAACACAAAAGCAGCCTTTTTCCACTGGATTCCAGAGGAAAACCAGACCCTGCTACATCATCACTGGACCTTCAGAGGAAAACTGCACCCTCCTACAGGACCACTGCTTCAACTGAACCACATCTGTCATCTAGGAGGACTGCAGCCACCATTTAATTGGACTGTTACTAACACCCTGACTGATGGGGTGTCAGGTTGTATTCTAACTCTGTCAGTGGTTTTGGGTTTGTTCTCTATAATACTGTATTTCTATTTTAATTTTCCTAGTAAAGAACTGTTATTCCTATTCCCATATCTTTGCCTGAGAGCCCCTTAATTTTAAAATTATAATAATTTGGAGAGAGGGGGCTTACATTCTCCATTTTAGAAAGAGGCTCCTGCCTTTCTTGGCAGACACCTGTCTTTCAAACCAAGACACCCATAAAAGGGCAAAAAAAAGATGTTTTCCCTATGTAATACCTGTTGAATTTTTTTCCCCATGGACTCCTGTAACAGGTCACAGCAGCTATACAAGCTTGCATTTCAACTGCTGTATGCACAACCAAACAGCCTCCCCTACTTCCAGCTGAAGACCATGGTACTGAAACTAAACATACTTTCAGATAGGGATTGAAAGAAAAAAAAAATTTAAAATCCCCTTCAAGCAAGAAGTTACTTCAAAAATTGTAGGGAATAACTTACTTTTTCTTTCTATAATTAAAAAAGGTCTGCAGCGCAACAGAAAGACAACTGCTCTGCAGTATTCTAAGCAAGCTGGAATTTGCAACACACACATTTGAACATTTTGGTGTCCATGTTTCAGACACCAAATACTAAAATCTCCAACAGGGAATAGCAATAGTACAGGAAAAGAGAGAAAAACATACATTTTCACTCTTTTTCACAACTAAATCAGTATTTAGCACAATGCCTCCACAGCAGAGGTTACAGGCATGAATTTTCTTCTGCTGATATCACCTTCATCATTTCCTGTTTAATGGGAAATGGGCTTTATGCTGGACTGAAAGGCAGCTGGAACAAGTGAAACCTCATTTCAACATTATTGATGAATGAAGTGTACCCAAATGAAGAGAAAATTTTTACATATCCTAACAAAACATTGTTTCATTATTTTCTAATCATGTTTTCAGATTCTGAAATGATGTTTGTACAACTTACTAAAAAAATTCCTGTTAAGACCATTAATTCAAAAGGTCATTTCAAGGCTACATTAATCAAAATTATTCAGAATATTAGTGACACTAATGATATTCCTAAAGAGTTTGGCATGTGAAGCTTGGAATGATACATATTAAGCTGACTGCAAAAGCAAAGCACCGTTTTCCAAATACTTAATAAAAAGCTATATTTTGTTGTACCAAAAATGCTTTCAATTATTGCATCAACACATCACCTACTCAAAACCTACTCAAAATGTAGGTTTATTACATATCAAGGATATTCTCCACCTTCATAATACGATGAATATTGGGGAAAATCACTTTTCTTTTTTGTGATTTCAAAATCTGTCTATATTAATGTGTTGCTGCAATATAACACTGTGTTAAATATTGTGCGATGGCATTATTACGCAATATCTATTACTAAGCAATATCTAGTGATCACTTACAGATTTGTGACAAACAGTAAGAGAATTCTCCAACACTAACTGTTACAGCTACTTCAATAAAACCCATAAAATACATAAATGCAGATAAAAGACATCTTTTAACCAGTTACTACTTGCATATTAGGCATATATGAACGAGATACTAAAAATTCTCTTGAAAAAAGAGAGAAAATCACTATGCGTTGTTGAGGATTTTTCCCCCTCATGACATGTCTGTAGCATGTAGCCTTCTCTTCACCCAGAGCTTAACAAATGTTTGATTCTCTTAATGCTATCTTACACAGTTAATGTCACTGTAGCTCTGATCATACATTGTTGTAAAATTATCTTTCAAGATCTCACTCGAGTTTGACAGTGGTGAACTGCCTCACCATTAACCTAGCCAGCCAGGAATTCTCTAACAGATGTCCTCATTTCCTTCAGGATGCAAAATCAGATACGTGAATGTCACTGAAAAAGAAATTCTTACCTGAAAAGTCCTAACTCCTAAAAATAAATATAAAATCTGCAGTCATTTTCACATTAATCATTCCTTAGCGTACAAAATATCTAGCACCACGGTTTATTTGCTACAGTGCATATAAATATGTTACTCCATCTTTTCTTTTATTTACATAATTTTTATGTATTTAGTAATTATACTCTTTTGTCATTTATGGATGAGCAGATATAAGGCAACTACCCGCATATGACAGAGAGTACTCACTTATTACAAGATACCCTTGCTAGGGTGATATCTTTGTTATCAATAATATCTATTAAGTGCTTTTTACTTGGAGCAACCTCTCCAAACTACTCAGGCAGGCAACTCGAGCAACCTGCAGCGATGGCCTCGAAATGCCTTTTCAAGTGCTAGTGTCTGTGCAGCTGTAGGATCTGTGACACTCTCAACCCTAACCTAGGCCTAATGGCAGCTTGTCAGTGGGGCTGAGATCCCCATCACCATGGCTGGTCCAGATAGGAAAGGTGTAGGAAATATTGTGACACTGCTGCATTCACCTTGGCAGGCCTTTTCCAGCCCCAGTGTTCCTGGAGCTGTAGGCTCTTTAACTGTCAATCCTAACCCAAACCTAACATCAATTCTGATGTAGTTTTGATTCAGAAAATATAAAAGAGTAAGATAATCAAGATACAAAACACATCTTGCAGTACAGCCTCTCAGAAATAATAGAAGTCATGAAGCATCTTGGAGAGACTCTCTCAAGGATGCCAGCTACTCCTGATCTAGCTAGCAGCACGCAAATCTAAAGAGTAGTAAGGTTGTAGATTAAATAGGACAAAAATGCAGAGATACTAAAGTGTTCTAAAGTAATTTTTGCTTTAATGTCTTATTTTTCAAGTTTTCAAGTACAGCAATATATTGCTGTAAACAGATATCATTAATCTCTTTCCAGTATAGAAATAATATTTCTAAGCAGCAGCTAAAGAAAAGGGACAGGTATCTAAAACCAAGTTAAACCTACACCATGCTCAACAACTGCTCTACACTCTTGTCCTAGGGTGATGTTATGGTGTTTGTATCTCTAATCGTGTGTTCTGATTATGTTTGGTATTATGTCCTGTGCTTCCAGGACTGACTCTGAAAGTGAAGCTTTGTTTTGTCTTGTTATCAGCCGGCTCACCTCCCCCATGGTCTATGTTTAGGAGAGGTTTTAGCTCGGCTTGCTTGCTTGCTTGCTTGCCTGCTTGCTCGCTTCTGCCTCTTTTTCTTTCCTTTGCTTTGCCCTTGCTTTTTGCTTATTAGTTAGTTCAGCTAGGCAGTCCAACTTTTTCCCTGGACTGTTTTCTTTTCCACCCCGTCCCCTCCCTCTCCTGGATACCATCTGAACCTGTTCTGGACGGGGACCTGGGAAACCCCAAGAAACACCGGGAGTCTACACTTTGTCACCTGCAGCAGTCATTCCCCAGCTCCAGAGACTGATAACTGGGCGACCACTCGCCGGAGAGACTGAGTTTGTAGTCCCTTCAGAACGGTGAAAGAGGTTTTTTGTCAGCTGGTGTTGTTTTTTTTTTTCGCTGTGCTGGGGAGTGTTTTGCTTGTTAAATAAACAGGTTTTTTCTCCCACTCTTCTCTGAGGAAATTCTTCCCGAACCCGGTGGTGGGGGGGAGGAGTCGTGGGGTTTGCTGTTTGGGTGTTCCTTCTGGAGGTTTTCCCCCAAATTTGCCCAAAACCAGGACAACTCTGTATTGTAACTTAGAAGTGGACTGCAACTTAGAAGTGGAAAACCTGTGAAATTACTGATCAACACAAACCCAAGATAAGCCCCCTCATCAACCAGAACATAAACACCCATGAAACAAACTCTGTGATATGACACAAGACAAGTAACTTATTAAACGTATTATCAGTAAACAAATGAAGCTACCTCTGGCTTTCAGTCAACTTCTACTCTCAGGAAGCCACACTAGAATTGCCACAGTCAATTAGTGCAAAGTGAGTTTATTACCACACTTCTGTTTGCAGAACAGAACATCTGCTAATAGCAATAAATACAAATAATCAAGGATAGTATTGGATACACCAGGCTGATTTCAAGAGATTTGTTCCATTTCAGACAGGAAAATAATCCCATGAATCAACAAATAATACTTTTAAAAACCACAGCATACTTGGTGGTACAGAAAGATGTGAAAAGCAACAAAAAGAACCTTACAAGAAGCTTGTTGCATTTCTCTGTCTGTGGGAGTGGTGAGTCCCACGGGCAGCACACGGATAGGTGGAAACATCAAGAGGGTTTTACCCAGTCTTGGATAAAGGGTCATTCTTCCTGTTTATGGAATAGTTTTAAAGTCAAGAAAGGAAAACTATGAAACCAAAGCAGTCTTACCTGATAAATATCAGACAGGCTGCTGCTCCCAGAGTCACTGGCAATGCTACAACCTGACTGGCTTGAAGGGACGTGTGTCACCTGAGGATGAGGATTGTCGGTGAGATGCATCTTGGTAAGGTCAGCTGGAAGCTGTAAATAAAATTAATTTGGGGAAAGGCAGTAAAAAGAAAGGAAAACAAGATGTGCAAGTCTGATTTGAAGACAAAGTTTTTTATAAAATTTTGGTTACACATTTAAATTTGTGTTTGAATTGTTGAATTATTGAACCAAAACCAAACAGAATTTGAACCTGTAACTTGACATACATCTTGAGAAAAAGCTAGTTTAGACTAAGCTGACCCAATCACACTTCACATTTCATAAAATTGATGGAAAACAATGCACCTTTCTATAAAACAAAGGTCTGGGATATTTACAGCTAAGTGACATACCCAGCTAAGATGACAAATATATGATGCTGGGCAAACAGTCCACAGTATTTAACCTTAGCTGACGTTGCAATCTGTTATGAAGAAGCAGGATTCCTATTTATAAGTTCAATTTATGCACCTTAATTCAGGAATAAGCTTTAGAAAATATCAGTGTAGAACAAAAGGTACTGTAAACTAAACAAAATGTTTGGTCTATAAAGGGCTTTGAATTTTCTTTGAAGAAATGAGAACACAGAAATAGTATTAGGCATTTTGGCTACAGCTATGTACATAGCATCCCTATTTTATAAATCTATCTGTAAATATATGTGAAGATATTTAAATTTTAGTGCATTACTCAAGTTCACAAACATATTCTTTCTACTGAAAAAAAACCAGCAGTAGCTTTTAAAGACTCAGAGCTGGATGGGATACTGTCAAATAAACAGTCCTTTAATTCACCCACTTGTTTATTTTTTGTCACATATATTTATTTTTAAAGCATTAAAATTTAAAGTTTAATATTTAATTTTTTCAATTATACTCAACTATATGAAAAGCACATTGTATCAAAAAATCATAGATTCTCACTCACTAAGTGCTTTTATCATTTTTAAATTATACAACTTATGTACTATTTCTTTAACAAAAAAGTTCTGATGCAGAAAAAGTCCAAAACTACTCCCACAGCATCAACTGTAGTCATCAAAATGAAAAGATTTCTTCTGTAAAACAAACCAAATTCCATGCAATCGTGTCAGCTACTAGATATTCAGTCCTACAAATTAAAGGACAATACTGGAAAATACTCTCGAGTTGGTATCAACTTTATAAATACTGGCTAAACTTAAGAGAAGTGATAAATAAGTTCTGATTTAGCATCACAATTCCATGTCCATTATTTGAAAAGCACACAAGAGAAGTACTTCACCAAATACCAGTTCATATATTTTCTGAAAATATAGGTGACACCACCTATGTTTTCAGAAACCAAACCTTCCCCACACCTATGAAAAAAAAAAAGACCCTCTGACATATGCAACATAATTTTCCTATCAATATTGTGATAGGGAGCATAGGGGCAGCTTGCATCCCTTGCAACTTCCAATGACATTCTCATTGCAATCACTACTCAAACACAACAATCCATATGGGCTATGAAAGAAAACACTGCTCTTCCTCACAATCCTAATTTTTACCTTATTCTAGCTTTGTTTTTTCCTAACAAAAGAAAGTATAAAATATCCAACCTGTAAATTCATACCTATGGTCACATGAAAATGACAAAGTCTGAAAAGCAAAAGTTTGCTAAACTTCCAGAAAATCACAAAAAAACCCCATCCAAGCAGTAGTGGGAAGAAAGGGGGTCAGCAGAATAACGGTTAGGGAACTTAAGTTGTAGTGAACTTGATCTAAATACAAAGGAAATGCAACACTTTAAAATCTATGTTTAGCCACCAGAAAAAGTTTTACAGGCTGAAAATAATTATTTTCAGGATTTGAGAACAGGAAAAATGTCAAAGCACTCAGGTGACAAAATTCAATCCAGTGGCCAACAGGCAACCTCTCTGTCAGCACATGGGGAAGAGCTGACATACACCAAGATGTGACCTCTCATCTACAACAAAATGTGCAATAGTTAAGCTGAAATTTGATTCCGATTTAATTCTGGTCTGGAACACTGGCTGGTTATTTTTGGAATCCAAACGGCACACTGCCGACAGAAGCCATTTCTGTGCAGCACACAGAAGAGCACTCTCCAGGCTCCGCTTCCAATGGGCATGAGGCAGGAAGCATCACATTCTCCTCCCTAAAGCCTTGGACAACTGGACATTGGTCAAGGCACCAACGTTTCGCCGATGACACCTGCAGTGTGGATGGAGGATATTCCTGTGCTGTGGCAGCACTCACAGCGAGCAGCCTGTGCTGCAGGGTGACCCTGCTCCTGGAGCACCCCGCAGTGTCCCAGCCACACTCCCAGCCACAATCCAACAGAGGTAAAGCACCACTTCCCAGGGAGGTCACATCCACCAGCACTGTGGCACTCATTGGCAAATGGACAGGGCAAGGCAGCTGGCAGTTGCTGGGATGCTGAAGGTCAGTGGAACTGAAACATCCAAGAGTTTTAGGAAATTACAGAACAAATCAGCCCACATAGATTCATTGCCTCTAGCTAAAGACCACAGGTTTGCTGCAAACTCTTCAGCCTGTCCCCACCTTTATAACCTCCCTATTCCAACAAACTGTTCCAACTTCAGCTCCAATCTTTTTGTCCATGATCAAATCTCATGCTGACTGTGGTAACACAGACACAAGGAAATCTAAGCTCTCTTCTCTCCAGATTCCCAAACCTTCAGAACCGTTCCAGTAAAACAGTGAGCAGGACCAAGAGTAGAACTAATTCTGCAGGATTTCCCAGGAGAACAACGGCAGGTGCTTCCCTTTACCAACAACTGATGCTGTTAAAGCCTGTTCTGGCTCAAAGACATCCCAGCACCCACACATACACACTGCCACCTACAGTTTGTCTTTTCTAATTCATTTGAGATTTTAAGATTCTTGTGATGAACACTGTTTTCTCTACCTAGACTGAGAAGTGGGGCTCCACCTAGTCTAGTGGAAGGTGTCCCTGTCCATGGCAGGGGCTTGGGACAAGATGAGCTTTTAGGTCCCTCCCAACACAAACCATTCTGTGATTCTGTAATTCTAAGTACCGATGGAACAAGACATGGTTCCCAAAATAAACAAGTTGTGCATATTGGTTATATCAGGCTGTGTGTAATTTTCACAGAAACCCACTGATGACCACTCAAAGCACTGCCAGCCTTCCCAAAGGAGTATTTCTAAACAACTAATTAATCAAAACTGCTCTTCAGTGCCCCTGCCAGCAGTCCCCTTCACTTCCATCACCTATAAAGCAATGGTTATATATGACATTCCTGCTGGACTCTGCAATATATTCTTGCAAAAGACATTTAATGCAAGTTAGATGCAAGGAAACATCACAAGACCTCTTTAAATTTGAGAGAGAGAAAAGGTTTATTTGAGAAAAGCGACCTTTAAAGTACTCTACTCCTACTCGACTCTATCTCCAAAAATAAATCACAGCTTCTGTCTTTTGTATACCATTTTTATTACCCACAGTGATTGTTCTTTCTGGCAGAGCTCACTAGACAGCAAGATACAGAGAGGATGTTTCTGTACCAACATGACAGCAGACACAGGAAGTTCTTGCTGGTTGTGGCCTGGAAGTTGCTGGAAGTGATATAAAATTGTCTCAAGTATTGGTGACTAAGACTTTTTTTTCTGAAACTTAGAAACTCTTGTTACAAGAGCACCAGTATCTGGAAAAATCCTGCATTGGGAAACAAGGTCCACATAGCAATGTTCAACTATGCCCATATTAGATGCTTTTGGATGCAGATGTTTCTATCTGCAATATCTTCCGGCTAATTGTGTGCCCCAGCACCCTCAGACATAAAAACCCCAAACATCCACAACATTCTGATAAACACTCCAACAGACTACTTAGTTGCACTTTAAACCACAACAATTTCATTTTTTCACAAGAAGGGATAATCTAGAATTGCAATATAAGTGCATCTGACATGTTGGCACAGCCTGTCCCTGCATGAGTGCCAGCACAGCCTTGAGACTGACCTTTCCCAACAAAGGGATATTTAGGAATAAACCCCCCCACTGAAATATCACACTGCAATTCAGAACTGCACCAGAGAGAAAGTTAAGAAAATAGAAATTATTGTTGGCATAGCCACCTACAGCTCTGCAACTCCGCTGAGTCAGGAAAACACGGTGATTACACCAAAAACTCCTGGATCAACAAGGATTTTTTAAGCAATATTGCAAACTGCAAGAGGAAAAAGGAGAGAAAAAAAGACTAAATCCTTCAGAAGCTCATCCTAATGGTAGCATCAGCCTGCCATGCCACATAAACCCAGAAGTGCCAGCAGCCTGGACTTGTTTTTGTTAAAGGAATTTGAATTTTTCAAGAGGGTTCGCAGGTTGATCCTATCTCATTTGCCAGGACACAGCCATGGCCAGTCACCTCAGCCAGGAAAGAGAGGAGGTGGGGGGGACAAGACATGGGAGTGATAAAAGCCAGCACTAAGAAACATTTAATAAAAAATGACATGCACAAAATATTAAACTCTCCCCACAGCAGCCTTGAAAACCTGAGGTGAAGACTCCAAAGGTCCACCAGGAGCTTGGCTTTTTCCATCAATTTCATGGGTGCAGCAACCTAGCACCCCTGCAAGAGGCAGCAGCACTCCTGCTGCCAAACCAGAGAAACTCCAAAAATCTCAGCAAGCCGTAAACCTGTCCTTTCTCCTATAACATAATACAAAGTTTACTTAAAAGGAGTATTCTATTTGATTATTTTTGTTCGTTTGTTTCACAGACATCAGGACATCTTGGTTTTATACAGAATTACTGACTTTCTAAAAGTCGTTTGGTAACAAGAGCAGAATAATGATATGATGGTTTCTCCCCGAGACAGCTGAGGTTTCCCACTGTTCTCCAGCAAGAACAGTATAAAGTTTAACAAAGGTGAATAAAAGGCTGTGTATCTACACCAAGTCTCATGTCTGTAATTTTGAAATTAATTGGAGTATAAGCTCTGATCCATGGTACAACTCACAGGTCAGCAGACCTAGGACAGTGCATCTGCAGTGACATTTACTTCCCACGTAAATACCA